AATGTATGCACGAAATCGCAAGCAATGTAAGGAAAAAATTACTTATTGTTAATGCAACGGAATAAGTACGTAAGTACAACGGCTTCAATTAAAAAAATTACTTATACCGCTCATATATCTCGCACATGTACTCTGTACAAGTGTGTATTCAGGCGCTAGAATCTGGCAACGCACCTTCAGCCGGCTCATTGTAATCGTGCACCCACTGGCGCAAGTAGTCCACGGTGTTCAGCCCGTCGGGGTTGGTAATGTGCGCCGGTGCAGGTGCTGCAACGGCTGCCGGTGGTTCCTCCGCTGGATCAGAATTCAAACGTAACCGTATCACCGACAGAAACGCCTCCGGCCGCAGGAGGGGCATTTGTCATTTCCCGACGTCGCTCGCCACCGGTTTACGCAGTTCAGATGGAAAACATGGCCGCAATCTTCCAGTGCGGCCATAAAACCAACACTGGTCTCTGTACAGATCGGCAACAAATGACCACTACCATTGTAAAAAGTATTAAGAACTTATTGTACGAATACTGCGGTCGACATACAATTTAAAAAATTTAGAGATCAAGTGTTCGATCATAAGAATGATGATAAACGCTTACTGTTCTTCGAATCCGGACTGATCTTATGCAAAAGTCAGGGTTGTCGGTACAAGGGTTGCCAGGTAACGTTGCTCCGGTGCTAAGCTGTTCGATTTACCCACTGCACATGCAGAGTGTGCACACGGCCATGTGCACACACGTATAAATACAGTGGTGGGTTTCATTTTTTTGTTACTTTCTATGCATATTTGGAGGATTATAGCTACAGTGGAGTACAGTAAGTAAAGTGCACCGAATCGCTTATTACACGTGTAATAAGCGATTCGGTTTATGCTAAACTCCGGAACAGTTAAAAAGCAGAGTAGATAACAAGTACTATACTGGTACTAAATTTACAATATCTATTGTGGTTATTTAACCACCCATCTTCCGGCTGTATTTTTCATTTCCCGGTTAAAGAACCTGTGATACAGTAAATTGGTACTAGTACTTATGGACTATGGTTTCTTATTTAAAATGTCCTTCGACACAATAAAATGAGTGTACACTGACACCGTGGGGTTAAAATGGTTAAAACTTATGGTTAATACTTATGATCCATAAGTATTAACCATAAGTTGTGCCTTTTGGGTGTCCATTCATTTTGGCCACCATTCATTTTGGCCACCATTCATTTCGGCCACCGCTGATTTGGTTACCGCGTTCGATTTTCAGCTAATATGATTATTATGTACTCACTTGGTGAGACTTTTCTTAGGTTTCTTAGGTTTCTTAGGTTTCTTAGGTTTCTTAGGTTTCTTAGGTTTCTTAGGTTTCTTAGGTTTTCTTAGGTTTTGTTAGGTTTCTTAGCTTTCTCAAGTTTTTTAGGTTTCTTAGATTCCTGTAGTTTCTTGATTCTTTAGGTTTCGTAGGTTTCGTAAGTTTCCTAGGTTTTTTGGTATGTTTACGTTTTTGGGTTTATGTTCTCAAGTTTATTTGTTTTCATTCATTTTATTTTTATTTTTCAGAAAAACATTCATTCAATCACAGCCTCACAAAGTGAGTAGTGAATGCATATACTCGTAATAATTAGCGCAAAATCGAACGCGGTAACGCAATCACTGGTGGCCAAAATGAGTGATGGCCAAAATGAATGGTGGCCAAAATGAATGGTGGCCGAAATGAATGGTGGCCAAAATGAATGGTGGCCGAAATGAATGGTGGCCAAAATGAATGGTGGCCTTAGAATGTCTTTCGACACACCAGCTGCGGATGTAATCCTCTATGACTCATCCCGTATACTGTACCGGGTTTGTCCACGATGATTTGGTTGGCAGTAAAAAATCCCATAATGGAGGCAAAATAATGGAATCATTCAAAATTTAAAGTGTGTGTTTTACCTTCATTCTCCCGACAAAAATCCGATAATAATTTTTCCGATATTTATACCAGTCCTTTTTTATTGATAAGGACTAGTTGTATACAATCTAGCAGTGTATTATCATCTAGATGTATGCAACCTAATCCATATCAATTCTTCGCTTGAAAAATTTCGTTCCTGGAATTCGGGTGATGCTCCCATGGTAGACAGCGCTGATGTCCAGCCGCTGTTGCATGCGTTAAAACAGCCACAATGACATTATGGTAAACTGGTATTGTGTGCAAACGTGCTGTTAACATAATATTGTCAGTTTCTGATACAAAACGGCAAGCGTAGCAAAATCTTGCAAAGATTCATTGCCGCTTAGCAATAAACCTTGAGCTATGAGTGTCGAACGATATTCCTCGGCATTTTGAGACAGAGTAAAAATGAAATCACAAGCTCATTCATAAAAAACTTATAGCGGCTTGCTATTAAACATCCGTTGTAATCGTGTCGGTGATATTGTAACGGTATGTATGCAATACTACACGCCAAGACCTATCGCGCATGTGTCAACGCGCGTCGGTTCACAGCTTCGGACAAGACGGTAATTTAAACTTAATTTCTAGATTTTGTATGGACGGCAGTCTACCATGCTTGTTCGTGTAAGACAATACAAATAGTAGGTAGGCCCACAAGGTTTGGTGTGCGCTTAGAATATGTAATGAAGTTCACAATGTGAAGTTTATTGCAATTTGTCATGTAGGTGGTTTGTTACAAGACAGCTGACTGCCTTTCATAGACTGAAAAAAGTACGAATACAGCGATGCAGACGACGGGACTGCCGAAATTCTGAATAGACAGAATTTTGTGAATGAACTTTTCGTACCTACAGAATACGTTTCTATCCGTACTTTCTTTCTTTTTCGAGCCTTGAACCGTGTCATTTTTCACGAGGGATCATTTCCGGTGATGTTGCAGTCCCGTGCTTCTTGATTCACCACCAATTTAAAATTGTCAGTGCATTATTAAGTAGCTAAAAACAAAACATATCTAAATAAAACTGATTTATGATGTTTGTCGACTGGTGTAATGTCAAAGGGACAGCATATCTTCATAGTGAACATAGCATGCCAGTGTGTACAGTAAGTAGAATTTAATTTCTTTAGAGCTAAAAGCACGACATGTCTTCAGATATGAATAGTGGAGCAAAACCAGTCTTCGAATTTTCGTTAACCGGGTTGTCAGCTCTTGTTGTAAGAATAAGAATTAGCTTAAATACAGGTATAATGTATAAATGTATAGATATGCAATCTACGACGATAATAATGTTATTCTTATGTCGGAGCTCAATTTTTGAAAAAAGATCAACGACCCGAGAATTTGATGGAGCCGGTGATGTGCTTACTTTTCATTGAGATTTTAGAACGAAGGTCACATAACCAGGGTGGCCGAGAGAACCATTTAGTTGGCGTACTCGTATGTATGCCGTCAACGAACAACGCGACGCTTGATGAACTCAGTGCGAGCTATCATTAACAGAAGCTTTGTACGCAGAACTTTGAATACCAACCGTCTAGTAGGCATATCCGCACATAAGAGAACTGAATTTGTGAAATGTACTAATATCTATAATTTTGTAGACGTACGAGTACACACAAATACAGCTCAGAAACTGCTAGGACAATCTTGTTCTTGTTGTACCGATGAATTTTATGAATGAGCGCGCTAAAGTGTGGTAGAACAAAAGGTTTTCGCAGGCTTATCTAAACGCTTGCTAATCATTCTTCGACTGCTGAAGCGGAAAGATGAATATGTACTGTAATGTCGCTCAAACAACAGCATATACGATCATTTCCGTGATAGACCGTAGTAGATCCGACCACAAGTAATACAGTAGATCCGACCACAAGTTTAGCATTTTATCTTTACGAAAAAGCATACCAAATAGCAGTACAACAGTTATTATAGTAATATGTAAAGTGCAAACGCTACAATATTCTACATCGGAATAGGGTATGAAATTAATCACTCCCCAACTGACTTTCGTGGACTGATCTAAAATAAGGTACGTAAATTACTATTAATATAGTATATTTTTCTTGTAAGGTATCTTTATGTATATACGATATACGACGTTTAAACTATACTGGGTTAAAGGGTTTATGTAAACCAATTTACGCTTCTATTCCAATTTTATGCTCAACTTGCTCTTGTGAAATTTGGGGAATTCTTAAAATTTATCAGGCTTTTAGGTGAATCGATAGCCTATAAAAATGATTATGATACTGTATTGGTCGCATAAACTTTGATTTATTTATGTTAAATACTGGTGCGATAACACTAAATTTTTGCGGTGTAAGGGTTACATAACTTACATAACTTCCAGTTCGAACTATTTAGAATTTGGCAACAGTTGGCCGCCCGCAAAGTATACAATTTAACGTTAATTAACACCCACTCATCTCGAAACGTTCAGAGTCAAGGTTTCGCTTACCCCGCGGCTGCCTTATAACTGGATGACAAGAAACTCAGGAATGATTTAATAGCTATGCGCCAACTGCTAAAGTAAACCATTAATCCAGAGTACAAATTCATTCCTATTAAATTGTTAGTATCCTTTGTATAACTGTGTATTACTTTACTGGATGCGCTATGAATAACAACTTACGTACCAGGAAATGGGTTCTAGATTAGGACCGGTCACCTTATACGTTTGCACCATATGCGCGATTTCTAGTCTAATTTTCATACTATCTATACGTTATAGACTCGGACCGCATCCGCTGCAACGGCTATTCCCGGCGGCAGACAACTGCCTGTTCAGTTCTGCATACGATAAAGTGGATCCTTTAAAACCAAAAGCTAGCCAACCGACTGGTTTAATATTCATCCATTTGCACAACTTCTCGCAGAAATCCTTGCATAGCGTTCGGGCGAAACTACTGCTTCTTAGTGCAGCGTGTGGCTATCGGTCGATCTTTGTTGCCGGCACTTCGCACTTACTAACTTCACAGCCTTCAGAATACCAGTATGGTGACGTTTTGCAAATTCTGAATACCAAGCATAATGAGATCAACGCCGAGATCCTTCTGCGTGAAGCGAAAAAATATGTAGCGCAGTCGTATGAACTGATTGAAATGGCCGTTTTTGTTGTGCCTAATGTGGATGCTGGTGATAGCTACAAGAACATTTGGCGAACAGCTTCAATGATAATCCTAAATTCGCGACGAGGTTAATTTTGAAACTACTGGTAATGATGCAAATATTTCGCCAGCTATCGTTACAGTGGTTTTTTTTTGAACGGCTAGCTTAGGATCGCCAGCGAGAAACAGCCTCGACCAGTTCGGGTGGTGTTTGGGAAACGCATCGCAGACGTACGAAGACCCTTTCAGCGAGCAGGATTTACTGACCATTACACAGCGTAACCGACCGGCGATGACCTCTGATCTCATTGTGCAAGCAACCGGCACAGAAGAGATTATGCCGCTCAAATATCTCCTTTTAGAACCACAAGGTAAAGCAGTGAAATCGGAAAACAGTAAAAATTCTAATAAAATTGCAAAGCTTGCATATAATTACTGTCATAATTGTGTGCAGAACAATTTCACATAACAGATAATGGTGTATTACAAAAATACGGCACCCCGGTTTTGAGGTGACCAGCAGATTTTATGAATTATTATTGTACGGCTGGTCGACAGACAAATGATGCAACAGCACACTAACGCTGCACCCAGATTTCATTGTTGCAGAAGGGCAGTCATTCAAATCATTGTTTTTCGGACAACAAAAACAAGCGAGACATGGTTTTATTGCTGTTTAAAGACAAACGCTCTTTTAAGCGTTCGCGGGTCGGGACCTGGGTATTACAGCCAAAGTCTGCCACTCGATTTTTTGAGCGAACCAAACAGTTACACTGCGAGGACAATATTGAAATATGCAAGCTGATTCGGTGCAAGAAATGTGTAAATTAATTTCAAGACAAGTTGCACTGCACTGGATGTTTCTTATAGCTAGTATCTTAAATTCAAGGTTTCAGCGTTCAGCGTTCTGAAACGTACTGTATTGTTACGTAATGCTCACTCATATTCGCCATGTGACAGCGACATGTGCACTGGTGCGTTGAAACCTGTATCGAATATACAATTCGATACATGTCATCCAGCATAACAAGTTTAAACCTAGGGCTTAATCATGCAATTTGTTACATATCTATTTTGGATGTACCAAGGGTGTTATTGTTAACCACAGTAGGATGATACTGTAACAGCAATATCTGCAATGTTGTGAAACTGCTTATATTTTTTAGATAGCATCATCAACAAACCAAATCTCCGACAAACGGTCAGGGAAACATCAAGTTGTTATCAGCAGAACAGCCGTCCTCCGTACTTGGTGGTCTTTACTCATTCGTCGCCCGCTAATTTTCAGTTGCGGCAAAAGGTCACAAGTTACAAAATTTGTATGATTTATAATGACTGCACTAGCTGCCGCTGCTTGATAACGCATTTCTGCGCCGCAGCGCTTTAGGTGTTGTAATGTTCTTTCTCAATTCAGGTTCGAGAAACTTGGTACAATCAGAAACAACGAGTTAGGAACCGCATAGTTAATTTTTTCATCTTGGGAATGCCATCTGGCAGCCAGGCAGCTGCAGTACAAAAACAGGTAATCGAAATCGGACTTTGGATTTTCCGAAAAAACGGCTTCCCGCAAAGTCATAAGTGGTTAATCAGGTGTTACAATATTATTATTTTTGTGGCCGCAAAACATGTATGTGGAAAAAGAAAGTTTCATTCCGTTATTTCATGTGTTAATTTAAATCTAATGCGGCTCATAAAGATACGATAGACAGTGTGTAGAATAATAGACGCACCAGCTTTAAATGGTGACCTTTAGCTAATCGTAAGACTGCGCAGATCGTGGCAGAAAGTCATCAGCACCGCGACATTGTTCAGTTCAACTTCGTGGATTCGTATCGCAACCTCACACTGAAGCATACAACAGCCCTGAAGTTCCTGTCCGAAGCCTGTCGCAACGTAACATACGCTTTTGCGATGAAAGCCGACGATGATATGGTGATAGATGTGGACACGATAGTTTTCTACATGAAGCAGCTAACGTTGAACCGGTCCGCACCGCCTTCTCGTTCACTGTACTGCACCCACATGGTTTACAAAGAAGTGGTGAAGCGCCAGAAGGACTTTAAATGGGCCATTACACCAGAAGAATACCCAGGTTAGATAACCGAATTATAACTGTTTCACGTATTCTCGTTGTACGTAGATCTTGTGCGTGCTCCATATTTTCCGCAGTTCAGACTGTCATAAGGCAGAATCCAGTAAGGATTTCATAACGTCTTCATCGTTCGGTGGTCGACTTTGTTGAAATTTATGTCATTATCTCTTTTTTGCTTTTTAAATTGTTGTACCCTGTGGCTGTCATCAACGAAACGAAACTTGCGTAATTCCTTAGTCACGTTCACACCGACTAATCTTTCGGTGGTCGACTTTGCTGAAATTTATGTCATTATTTGTTACGCAAATGCTGTTAAAGTTTACGCTGTTTTTATCAGGTCGGCACTATCCTCCTTACTGCTACGGCGGTACCTACCTGATGACACCGGATCTCATACCGGATTTATACAACCGAGGCATTACGAAAGCTACAGGCATAAAATCGACTGCGACGGTGTCAGGATAGTGGAGACGATGTACTGTGTTGCCCGTAGACTTACATTCAACTTTGAAATTCTAGAATTCCTTGTATCTTTGTTTCTAAGTCTCCAGGAACACCTCAAAAGAAAGAGAATAATTTGTTGTTTCTTCTGATACTAAGTTAGCGCGGATCCGCTGCAAATTAGATGCGATATGAGTGTTTTCATTTAACATGGAAGTCTATGGAAGAAGCCTGCACTTGTGGCTATGCTTGTGGTGCGGATTTACTGTGGACGGCTGCAGTCTTCCGACTAAGTTGCTGACTATCTGTCACTATCAGTATGTGAACACCTTCTGAAATACGAGTCCAGAAAGTTATGTTTTCACTTGACTTTGTTGCCTGGACTTTAATCATTACGAAAACGGCCATGGTTGCAGCTTGACCACTCTTTGAAGACACACCAGTACCTTGGCTCTTGGATCCACCATGTGCGAGACCAAACTGCTTTCAACTAACTTTTACCGCTAGAATTTTCGGGGATAGTGACGAAACATCATGTTTTTCAGTTTTAAACAAAAAAAACCATTTAGACACAAGGAAATTTCGTTCTGCTGGAACGCAAAGAGCGCACAAGCCTATGGAGTTCGCAAGATCGGTCTCCTCTACAGTGACGTCATCGTACAGGCTGCCAGTTCGATTTTATGCCTTAGAGCTTTCGTAATGCCACGATACAACTTGTCCGGGTATATCAGACCATTCTGGGTGGATGATGTTTACTTTACGGGATTTGTGGCTCGGAACCTGCCTAACATTCGCCATATGCAACTGCCCAGTCAGATTCCCATAATGACGAAGAAAGCCTCCTCCGTAGACATTCTGCGGAGCAAACGTTGGGTCATTCACACAGTGAATACGCCACAAGCTTTCGACCGGATATGGTCGGTGTTCCGAACTCGCTGGAATGCTACAGCCAAAGAGATATTCCTACTAGAAAACAACCTCACAGACTACAGTATTTTTGATATTGTGTAATCATTCCGATGCATGCTGTCAAAAAGTGATTGTGAACCCATACATTATGTCTGTTGACTTCTTACTTGCTCAAAGTATTTGCTGACCGACGAAATGTGGCGTAATGCGACTTCTACGAATAATAACAAGGATCATAACAATACAGTACCTCTAAGAAAGCTGCAAAACATTGAACCTTGATTTGGGTACAAAAATCCTATGGCCTCATTTTAGGGCGCATTTGATGTCAATAATTCATGCCCTGGTTTTAGAGCGTGTCATATAAAACCAAAAATGTATATCCACTCGCTACTCTTTGACGCCTCAAATTACGAACAACGGTCAAACAATGGTGTCAGCAAGTAAAAGGGCGAACAACAACAACAACGTTAACCTTTGGTCCTTTAGTGAGATCCCAGTGCTCGTTTGACCGTCACAATAGTTGCGCCCACTTCCAAATTAATTGAAGTACAATAACAGTTAAATTTGAATAATTTCCAAACTGATTTTGCTGTTTAATTTTTCTGTAATTAAATCTATCTCGCCGAATTATCCTATGATCTGCTGCATTCATGTGACTGTTAGTGATTGCTACGCAGTGAACTACACATATATGATTGTGAGAGCATGTATTTGTGCTGTCCAGTGTCCACTACTGAAAAAGGTAGTGACACTACTACTACCCACTGCAGGACTCTAAAGGTTATTGAGGTTTTTTCAAAGCGATTAGAATAGAATACGCACTGCGAGATCAAGTTGATCAACATCCATCAAGTTCATTTAATTGTTCGATTGCCTGGATAAAAATCAAAGGGTTGTCATAAAGGTACAAAGAACTACAAAGAACACAGAATAAGTTATTGAGCTGGCAAAAGTATGAAACACAAAAAATGACACAATACCAAAGCGTCTCACGCCAATAAAAACTTTACTTCCAAAGCATCCGCATTTATGGTGACTGGGCTAAGCTTGTTGATGTCTTATTCGGCAGCGGCTGTGGTCTCTTCCCCGTTTCCAGCCGCAGCGGCAGTTGTTTCTTCGGCAGCGGCAGTTGATTCTTCACCGCCAGCAGCGGCAGCTGTGGTTTCTTCAGCGGCAGCAGCAGACATGGTATCTTCACCTGAAGGTGCGGCCGTTGTTTCTTCACCTGAGGGTGCAGCTGTAGATTCTTCACCGGAAGGTGCTGCTGTGGTTTCTTCGCTAGAAGCTGCGACAGTCGTTTCCTCACCTGAAGGTGCAGCGGTGCTTTCCTCTCCGGCAGCAGTGGTAGTGTCGTCACTGAGTAAGGTGGTGGTTTCCTCAACATCAGTAGGTGCTTGAGGGGTAGTGTCTTCTCCACCCGTAGCGGCAGATGTCGCATTGTCACCACCAGCAGCCGCTGTAGTGTCCTCAGCAGCTGCAGAGCTAGTTTCGTCGGACGTCGGAGCGGCTGTCGTCTCTTCCGCTGGCGCCGCGGAGGTATCTTGGCCTTCACCTGGAGCGGCGGATGTACTCTCTTCACCAACCGCGCCGGAGGTTGTTTCTTGTGGCTCACCCGGGGTGGTCTCTTCACCATTCACGGCAGCGGCAGTTGTCGGTGTAGCGGTAGTGGCTTTGCCTGCCTTAGTGGTTGCTCCTTTGGCGGGAGCCGATTTCGCCGTAGTCGACGGCTCGTTAGGGATCAAAATGCGCCCACCGATAGACGGCTTCGCTGTGGACGCTTTGCCTGGTTTCGCTGTAGTCGCTTTGCCTGCTGGCTTGGCTGGCGCTGGTCTGCTGCTTGGTTTCGAGGCGTTACTAACGGCACCCAAATCCTGAGCAATGTCGTCTTGGTTGTCCAACAGCGGGACATCTGCGCCCTGGTACAAGCGGCTGTTGGCATAGTCATACCATTTCTGCGCTTGGCTGCAGTCAACATTGTAGAACCAATCGCACACCAGAGTGATCTGGTTGAAGATCTGAATGAAAACAAGAAAATATTGGCGGGTTCTGTATGGTGACCTTTATAGCTTGTTTACGTACAGTCATGTTGGGGCAGAGGTAAGCAGTTTGGTTTCCGTTGATGTCGCATCGACGAATAACTATAAGATAAATTTTATTTCACGATGACCTTTTATCGGCAGTCGGCATAAAGTGACAAATTACCTTGACACTTCGAGTCGACATCGGCATAAAATCCAGGCTGCTTCTGCGCGGAACAGTCGAAATTTCCCGCTGGGATTTCGCTCAGATTGGGATAGTCTTCGCCAGATTTGGCATTAAGGTACAGCTGCCGCATATCATCCATGGAGAGCTTGTCTTTACCTCGAATCTGCGCAAGCGCATCCCAGACTTTTGGCGTCTGCTCGCCCGCAGCGCGCTTCACCTAGTAGGACATTAATTTGCAAACCAAAATTCAGCTTGTTTTACGTTACTCAATATAATCGTCATTTTAGAAAATTTTTTAGCATCCTGAAAACAAAAACAGGAGAAATCTCTTACAGGGAGAGCAAAGGCAGAGCCGATGCAGATCATGAGTACCACTGTGATCATCATTCTACTGATACGCAGGAAAACCACGTGTAAACAAGTATTTAATCGAAGTGCGATTAAAAGCAAAGATTGTACACACTTGCACAGACGCCTTGCTGAATGGACAAAAACGCAGGTTATATTGGAAAAAAATCAGGTGTGGATTTATAACCGTCTCAAGGTGAGCGGAAATATGTACAACGATCGCTCGTTAACCGCTGCGTTATATGGTAGTCAGCGGACGCGACTGACATGCCTTTTTGAAGTGCAAGAAACGTGCCGCAAACACCTTTTGTTTCACACTATTCAAAGTGGTATAATTTGATCTGGTTAAGAAAATTTGTTACGTGTTTTTTTTTAATCCATTGACAATGAAATAAATCACTACTTTACCGATCCTTTCTTTTTGATTGTGCAATCGCCGCACTGCCATGATCACATGTGCAGGTTTAATTAAGATATTATACAAGGCATGCAAACGATAAAACTTTCTGAATGAAACAACGTACACACATAATCTTTGATTGCCAGTCAATTAAAAGCCGGTGTTGTTCTACATAGTCTGTTAAGCAACCAATAATTACGCTCCGGTGCATATCTGACATTACTGCATGTGGCAATCATGGATAATTATTGCTTGCACAATAATTTTGCGCTGGAAAATATTGTCCGATCGTATCGGACAATTTGCTGCAGGACACTGAAGAGCGCTGGTAGCGCGTGTTTACACGTAATATCAATCATCATTATTTTCTCAACCGCAAAATTTACGACTGATTTACAGAAAACACTGCGGTTTTTTTGTTTCACACACTACTTAATTATTGTCCTTTGATATCAAATCCGTAGTGAAAGCACTCAAGGAGTATCACGCAATGTTGTGTAGTAGTAACACAACTTGAGTGAGTTGCACAACTTAATTATTTGATTGCCTAAAGGTCGCAATTAGCGGTTGTAAGGTCTAACACTATGGCGGTCTAATATAATTATTGGGGTTAAAAATTTCCGATAGGCAAAAATTAGCTGCAGCATCATGCTGCATTTGTTTAACAATTTATGCAATCACTTTTCTACTCTTGCCAGCCATTAGAATCAAAGAAATAACTACTGGCTGTTTTATAACACATCCGACTGTCGTACTGAAAAACTTCTAAAATGCACGAAGGCCAACATAAAATTATGGAAGTCGCTGCCAGTAAAAAAATTAACGAATGTATATGTTTAAATTAAATAGGCAGATACAGCAGAATGCATAAAATGCATTTGTGGTAAAATACAGCAGGTGTAAACTAGTTTGCCGCGCTCTGCGCTCTGGCTAGTTTAATTAAATTGCATTATTTACGTCGCATCGCTAAAATGCAGTTTATACACTGACCTTAGTGTTTGACCTAACAATAAGTTGATGTGAACAACCCATTAAAAAAAGTACGTACACACTGTATCAGGAAGGCGCAGTTACGCATATACAGTACAATACAGGTAGATTTGGACTGATATGATGCATTAGGGGTGGAAAAATTAGCATTATTGCGTCCTTAAAAAAGTATTTCGTGGTAATAGTTTTTACAGGCTGGTTCAAGAGTGTTACGTGATGTGCATGAACGGGATGTACTCGTATGCGCTTACGCTAACAGCTGTGAAACCCTTGACCTCAGCAGAGCGTCGATCCATCCACACGCGAAGTTCACTGAAGTCTGGGAAACAATTATTACGAGTACTATTAAATATTATCGAAACGCAATTCATTAGGGCTACAATGTAAAATTCTACAATGTGGAAATCTTGCCGGAGAAATAACGCAGCGCTAGTCAACACGCACTCACTATCGGTACAACAGATACATGTAAATAGTTAAAGGGCGCCGTTAATATTGATCTGGTAAGCCTCGAAACTTGCCTACACCGGCACTGTTTGAAAAATATTATATTTTTCCTGGCATGAGTGAGTCCCGATGGAATCAAAGAATTGATTAATATGTTAGCTAGTGTTTTCCGTTCGCATGAGTTGTGTGACATGTGCAACGTTATTCCTCTTTCAGCAGAATACTTACGGGAGTTGTTTTTGCATTGAACGCATGAAGACATACCACAGCATGCCTTAGTAGAGTACATATCACACCCTCTTGAATTTGCTGCGTTATCAATGATAATAAGCATTTTTCCCAACGCGGAAAATTTGGAAACCGCAGGAATTATCAAGCTAATTTACTGAAAAATACGAGCAGCATTGCAATGCTGATATCTAAAGCATTGGTTGCATATTACGATGATTATATCTATGCATATTTTCACCGTATGTACTGTTTTTTTTACTAGCAAAATTCGACCTTGTCAAGCAGTCATTAAGAATGTGACACTGGTGTCAGTTCACGTGGGCGCCAATCCGATCTATGGTTATTATTTGGCTCGACCGATGTATGAGGTTGCCGTGCGGCATATCCGGCGGAAATATCCACTGTCCCTGGGCAATTTACAGTATTATTCCGTTTATCAATCTGGTTATGATGTTTGCGCCGACGGAGGTGACCATGTGGCGGAGACGTTTATCAAGTATTACTACCAGCATCCGGAGATTTTTGAATCTGATAGCGTTTATCCCGTTCTTGCCAGTCCAGGTACACAATCTTATAATTAAATTAATTATTATCTTATCGTGATGCTCCTTTAAGTTGACTTAATGTTATTATTATCACGATGCAGCTTGTGTAATATTGGTGATGGTGGCAGAATACATACATTCAGTCGTTTGTATTAGAAGAAATAAGATTCCAGATTTGCTTATCTAAGAATTTTAATGTCACTGCTCTATAGGAAGATTATTATTCATTGTATGTACAAGTACGAGTACTTCTAGTGTTAGTACTTATTAATTAATATACGTTATCTTTTAGAATGCTCGTCGCAAGCCATACAGCTCGCTGACCTTGCCCGCGGTAATCGAAAATTCTTCCAGCATCTTTCAAGAAGAACGCTATAAAAAATTAGGAAAGATATAAGCTTTTTGACTTTGTAGAGTATGATTTGCCATATTTCACCAGGTAAGCTCGAAAGCGTATTAAGATATTGCGCGGCTGTTCGATTACGTTACTGTATGTATGATAAGCCACTGCAGGAACTCTAATTTTGCTGATCGCTAGAGGCTAGCCAAAACACGCAACAGTCTGCCGGGATTGATTGTTAAACCCCCTGATAATTGCAACATTTGTTCTATTTTTTCAGCGTTGCCGGAGACCTTCGCTTGGCAAATAAAGCCCGATATTCCACAAATGCGGCTACAGGTACTAACACATAAAAGTAGGGCTAATTTGAGGATTTTACGTAGTTGGGGTTGTTCCTGAATTTCTTGGTTCGTCTTTACCGCACAACTGAGGCACCAGAATATTTTTGTTTCGTGGACCTCTGGCCGTTGTGCGTTCGTTTAATTTTTGTTACGACATACGGTAGTTACTCAAACGCATGCGCTTTGTTCTGTGATGCACGACAGCAGCGAAACGTAAGATGTAAAAGAACACCGAAACACTTTCTCGGCGGTGGATGTGCTATGCTGTAATCCTGCAGCTGGTAATTAGCGGTCACCATCCGAGACTCTACAGAATAATACGTCGCTAGTATTAAAAAAGTTTCTCTATTGATTTTCAACTAGCTAATGACAATCATGGTTTACCGATTTCCAATGTAGCTGTACCGGTAGTACATAACTCTAAGTCAAATACGATAAGAGTTAGTCAAAAACTTACGAAACAGATGACGTTTGCGTTTCTCAGCTGTTTGTTAATATTACTCGATAATAAGTCGATATACAAATTTTGATTACGCACAGGGCACATCCATCGTATTGGTTTTATACAACGAGGACTCTGCCATTAGAAAAATAACTCCGGTCAATTTTCCGTGCCGCAAGCGGGTATTGCGCATGCTAACCAATGTGATCGAGAAAGTGAATGACTCAACACTCAGATACAGTTGTTTTGGCTAAACCGATATCTGTTTTACTTTACTAACAAGGACGTTCCACTTAAGTTCGATTTTATTTTGCCAATATCTTACACGGGTGTGGCTGACGGGATGCTTTACGCTTTGCAGCTTCCCTTGCGGGACCTGATGTCGGCGACGCGGTGGCTGCTCTCCTCAAGCGTTACTCTTGGCGAACGGTTACTCTGATCTGTGATACGCTGTCTCGGCATGTTGGCCTTTCCAATTTCTTTGTGATTCAATGCGGGGATGCCAGGAGACTGATGGCGCGGGAAAAGTATCCCGGATATTTTCGAGAAATTGATTCCTCCATAGGTCAAGATTATGTTGAACTGTTGCAAAGTTTCAAAGGTCGAAGCCGAGGTACGCTTTTTGAAGCATAATCATAATAATAACAGCGATGGTGAAAGTAGTCGTCATAAAATCAAGAAAGCCGGACTTTAATAATCCGTAGAGATAGTAATGTTTTTGCAGTATTCCTCTTCCTGACCATGCCGGTGTACGTCAGACGCTTGATGGTAAGTGTCACAAATAATTCGCGCATAGAGTTTCCGGTTCACGTGATTTAAATACAATATTTTATGGTTCAAGAGGCATTACTACCTTATAATAATTCTACAATAACTTCTGCAACAGATCACTGCAAACGCACTAAACATGACCACTGGGGACTATGTAAGTGCTCATTATTCGAAAAGCGCCTAATACTGCGCCTTGTTTAATTTTCGCAAATATCACGCGATATATATATCTGGTGCACTTTTTAAACTTAACGATACGAGCACAGAGAAATCAAATGCCTTGAGTTGAGCTTGGTTCCGGCGTTAAGGCTTTGCTGTAGAAATGTATTTGAATATGCATTCCACCGCTTCTAATTATTTAAAATTCTTTGTCTCTAACTATGGTATTCTGTGTTCGAAGGTGTTTATCACTCTTCAGCCAACAGAACGTCCAGGCATAGTCGCCGTTGATTGGAATCAGAAAGATGATCAGAAGAATAATTCTGTACGTTCTGTTGAGGTCGGATATGAAAAGGCTTCTGTAATGCTTGGTATTGTCGCCATGGCAGGTAGCCTTCCAAGCGTACCAAAGCCTAATTGTACTGAGTGGACAGAACCCGAACTGGACAGAAATTACACCCTTAACCGATGAGTTAATCAGTGAAACAAAAAGCCTGTTCAACATTACTATGGTCCCTGGAAACGAGGTTTCGATGACATTCTTTATACAGCTCCACAACGGTATACGAAAATGTCAATTGCGAATTGCAGAGGAATGAGCAAATCACATCTGTCTATGAGTCCACTATGCTCTTTGCTCAAGTAAGATTTTTTTTATCGTCATTTTGCTTTACCAATTTAATTACCAATGCAGCTGGAGTTGTTATACTGAGCGAATTTGTTTACACAGATATTTAACGAATCATATCCAGCAGTTTTTACTATGCCGAAATCTGCCTTTATCAGAACATACTTCAATCGGGAATTCAATTACGCTGGACGAACCTACGACACTGACGGAAACGGTGGAATGGTTAACTTTATTCTCATCAGCCGGTTAAATGTTAATACGACGAACATGGAAGTAAGAGCAGAAATCAAGAAATTCTAATTTCCACGTTTGTCAGGGCACTTGATCAGGGCAGAGAGAATCGGTGACCTTTCCAGGTAGCCATGATTTATAATGCCACTTCCAAAAGCTTAGTTGGTGTTGTACCGGAATTATGGCACTGGTTGGATCGCGATGCTCCGCCCCCGGATAAACCGCGGTGTGGTTTTCTGGAAAACGAATGCGACGACAGCGACCCAGGTACGAAAATCTGCGGCACACCACAACACCGTGTTAAACATGGCTTTTGTACTAAGCAGACTTCAAAGCCAAAATCGGCGGGGCAGCAGCAGGTGCATGTGCACTTCTCATAATCCTTTCCAGTTTCGCTTACTGGTACAAAAAGTTTTTGTCACCATTTACTTGCGCACTTTTCGTGCTGATCAAAGCTAAATTTGCAGTTGGACGAAACGGCGGCAAGCGTTATATGATCCGTGGTGGATTTTAGAGGCGGAAAGACTTGACTGGGATGCCGACGTCTCTAAATTGCATGCTAATAATACGCAGAAAATCGTCGAATTACAGCTGGGGATTGTGGCAAAGTATAACGCTAGAAATGTCTATGCTTTGAAAGTCTCCAACAATGAGGCGGCAGATTTAATTAAGTATGTTGCGAAAAGAAAAGAGCTTCTGACAACTCTGTACCAGGTAGGAATATAGCGTTTTTAAAGGAGTTGCACATTTTCCTCGAAATTAACTTTCTCGCGAGCGTTTGCGTATTAAGGTTATATTGCTAAAAACTATGAATCAAAGTTCCATATTAGACAAATCTAGATTCATACGTAGTTTAGTCTACAAATTGAAAGCGCAGAGAAACTATTCCGAAACTTTATTATAAGGCAGTGGTGTGTACGTATGTAACCTTTATTTTCAGCTCCGTAGTCTACACCGAAATAACATAGCCCGCTTCGGGGGAATTGTTCAGAACAAATCAGATTACTTTCTTATTTCGGAATATGGATCGAAAGGCACACTTCGACAGCTGATCGAGAAACAACATATGCCGATTGATAAGGACTTACGGTTGTCGTTGTTGTGGGACATTGTAGAAGTAAGCAGTGAAGGATTCCAACACCATTACTGGTTAACAGTATTCATTTGTTCTAGGGCTTGGAATATATCCATCAGAGCTCCGCCGGACTACACGGAAACCTAAGCAGTCTATGCTGTATTCTGGATTCACGATATGGATTAAAATTAGCCCAAGCTAAATACTACAAGATCCTGGATCTGCTGCAGGTGGCGGAGAATTCGGATTTGGAGGCAGTGAATTTCATGTGGAAATCTCCAGAATTGTTACTATATCGAGGGCTCACATCAGCCAACGACAGATTCTACACTGTAACAAAAGCGGGCGACATGTACTCCTTAGGAATTATATTTTACGAAGTGTACACCAGATCGCTGCCATATAGCGCTACTTTAAATTCAATCGAGTCCATCCAAGGTAAACAAATTATGTCGTATTACGAAGGCCGGATTTGCAAAATTCGTCCGATGTTTATAGATGCCGTGGCAAAAATGATAACAAAGGGCGGACCTTCGATATTCGCGGTGTCGGATAAGGTCATACCGGAACAACTGCAAATGCTGCTGCGATCCTGTCTGGATTTTCCTGCCAAACGGCCAACGATCCAAGCGTTCAGTAAAGCCTTCCGCGCAATGCAGCACAGGCCCTCGGCATATCTAATGCAGGTTGTAAGGAAATTGGAAAAGCACGCCGAAGATCTGGAGCAAATCGTAGTGGAGCGGAGCCGCGAGCTGGAATCGGAAATGCATAAGGCCGATTCGTTACTTCGGGAAATGCTCCCCGCGTACGATTACTAACCACAGATGTTATTGTACTGCTTGAAACATACCACATGGTTTGTTCACCTTCTCTTTCGTAGATCGATTGTAAGGCGCCTTCGGAACAAGGAAGCAATTGCTCCAGAAATGTTCGAAAGTGCCACCATAATGTTCAGTGATATACCCGTCTTCCAAAAATCCGTCTCGGAAAAATCTCCGCTAACAATAATTACTTTTCTCAATATGGTATACTCGCAGTTTGATCAGATTATCGAGGCCTTTGACGTTTATAAAGTGGAAACCATCAGCGATTCCTACGTGGTAAGCTGCAATTTTCACCACAATCCAGCAGATTAAAAAATTTGAAATTGTGGCACATATACTGTTTTTACTAGCAAAAAGATTCTTTACGTTTGTGTGCATGTCAAAAATGTCGTTACTCTAAGCAACTGTGTGGCAGATTGCCAGTGGCCTTCCCATACCCAACGGCATGCAACATGGATACGAAACCTGCAAACTTGCTGTTGCTCTGGTGAAAGCTTCGAGCCGGTTACCAGACGTGGGATTCACCGAAAAGACTGTGCAGTTAAGAATCGGCATCAATACAGGTCTGTCATATAATAATGACTTTTAGCAGCCCTCTGTAAGGTAGCAATAAAATAAAGGTTTGGTTGCAGGACCTGTGGTTGCAGCTGTGATTGGGACGCGAATGCCACGATACTGTTTGTACGTAACTATAATGGGCTTCGTAAAAATGGTTACGCATACCATTCATATGCATAGCGGTATCGGCGATATCGGTGCAACCATATTTTTGAAGTCCACTGTATTTAACTTGCTTACGGTTGAATATAACTCTCACCATCTTTTTTTCGCTGCATCAAACGTTTTAAACAGTTTGCTTGCTTCTCGCAAGCCCACCGTGAAACAGTCTGGGATGTAATTGGTTTTGTGATATACACGGCAGGTTCGGTGATACAATGAATACCGCAAGCCGAATGGAAAGTAACGGAGCAGGTAACCATGAAGGACGACAACCAAAACACTTCTTCAAAAATTCTTAGAGACTTTAGCATAGGCGCATACGTATGGTTTTCACTGCACTAATTTTTATTACAATATTCTGTACATGTACGTTTATCTCAATACTGTTGCTTTATACAGAAGGAAGAATCCAGATTAGTATAGGAACAAGAACGGTGATCGGTAACTCAAACAGTTTTCTTATCGAGGCTCGGGAACCAATCAACATCAAGGTCCGTACCCTGCAGATTTTCGGCGCGATAGTATGATTCACATGACGGGCTCTTGCGGTGTCTCTCTTTAGGGAAAAGGTTTAATGCACACCTTTTGGGTGACGCAAAAAACCTTCGACTAAATATTCGCAGTGCGGAAAGCGGAGCGGAGTCCAGTCGCGAAATGGCCCAGGATGGCGAGATTACTTAACTCCCGTCGCACAGGCTAAGAAAAAGCCAGTGTTCTAAGCAGACAGATCTAAATGCATTCCAGGATGTGTGTTTTTATATAGATATATCACAGTGGCACAGCTACCTTGTAAACTGTTTTTTTACCAATAACAGCAAGCTATTAGAGTTCTGTGTGTGAATGATCAATGGTTAAAGGATAATTCTAACAGTTCCAACAATTCTCTTTCGATGGATTTCATCTACAGTAGAGTCTGTGTCACTGTGTGCAACTTTTCCAAGACAGGACATTTGTTTGCTTTTACTGTAGTCAGTATTGCGTCGAACCGGTTTGCCGTGTCTCACTTACGATTAATAGAGGTCAGACAGGTGATGTAAAGTACATACAAACAAACTGCAGACTTCAGTTATCACCATGCTCATCCCGAAATCAATTATCTATATAGCACCGTTGACAGTATGTTAACTGAATCATAAACGCAGGGCCTCCTAAAACATTAACAAATACAGCAGATACAATAATTGTTAGGTCAAATTCGTTGCGCAACACCGTATATCATAGTTTCATTTCAATTTTACACTGTTTAATGTTTATAATATAAAGCTGTATAACCTTGATATGAGCATATGAAGCGCTACGTGTCGGAACGCAAGACGTGGCGGGAAACGTGTACATTGTGTACAATACTTCTCATATTGATCCGTTTGTTTAAACACGGGTTGCTTGCTCCACCGCGCAAGCGTTGGTGACGAGTTTAACTTTTTACCACAGACAGTCGTGTTAAATCCCGCGAGTAGATCATTTGCTTACCGTCTCGAATTTCACCTTCCACCATGCGTCGTATTGTGTATCACGATTCTCGTCACCAGCGACAGTACGTCAGTCATGTTTCCCAGTGGTATTCCGTCCGCTCCAGCTATACTAACAAGAGTTCTTCGTTATCCCGTTGTTCCCAGTTGCTACTTGTCTCGTGCCCGAGATGTCTACAACATTATCGCGCAAAACTTCAGAAATACTTTTTCATCCCCGGCATTTTGCTTCGCCAATGCAAAAATGTTTTTGCGATAGGAAAATGACGTTGCCTTTTAATCTGTAAGATGCCGATGTGTACACCGAATGCGGTATCCATATTTTCCAAAGTTTTTTTCATACTCCTCGTAATGTTCGACTGCAATGTCTTCCTCCCAATCTGTGCTGCCAGTGTTAAGAATGTCACCTTAGTGTCCGTGCACGTCGGCGCCAATCCGTTGTATGGCTACTATTTGGCCCGGCCGGCGTATGAAGTTGCTGTGCGCCACATCAGACGGAAATATCCGTTAACGTTGGGGAATCTACAGTACCGCTCCGTGTATCAAGCCGGCTACGATCTTTGCGGCGATGGCGGCGACCATGTGGTGGAAACGTTCGCAAAATATTATTACGACCATCCGGAAATTTTTCAGAATGAGGGAATGTATCCCGTTTTAGCCAGTCCAGGTAAAGTGAGATTCGTATTAACAGTTTCTGGGCGACGTGTTGATAGTAAGTGCATCACGCCTAAATGGTAAGGTACTGTTTCCGGAATTGTCTGAATGTTGCAGAGTGCTCATCCCAAGCGCTGCAATTAGCGGACCTTGCTCGCGGTAATAATAATTTACAGTATTATTGTATTAAGTCGGTAGACGCATTGCAAAATAAAACGACATGTGGCTGTTTTTTGCAGAACATGACTTGCCGTTCTTTACAAGGTGAGCATATAATATCGTTATCGTCTAGACAAATTAAAGCTGAAATATTGTAAGAAGTAATTTTCGATATGGTCGGTAAATGAAAGTGTTATCATTCGACCAAAAATGCAACAATATTTGATTCAATATATTATTCATTTTGTTTCAATTTTTGAAACTGAAATTTTATAAAAAGGTTCAAAGGAAAACTTTTTTACAAGACAGTTAAGTGCAATAATTGCACGATAACTTCGAGCCATAATTATTATAAAAGCCATCAGTACATTTCTGTTTACATATCAAGATAGATTACAACGTGACACGGATGTAACTCTCATGATTAAGCTTAAAAGCAGATTTATTACTAAGCTGGTTATGGATATAACTGGTAAGCTCAAATCAGCTATTTATGGAAATCCAGAAACAGGACATTTGGAACAACTGGTAGCTATTTAGTTTCGCGGTCGGATACTGCCAAGGTACCGTGAAGGCTAGCTAAAATTGGGAAGCTTTTGACCGGCATTCCAGTTTATATCTCCCACTTAACGCATTGAATGCTTAATCGCGCAGGTGTAGCTAAGCGGTAAGCCTGTAGCGTGTCCCGATTAAGAGGTCATATAACCGCAATGCAAGTTGCAAATTCCCTAAAAGTGGCTTTGCGCCATTCAGTGCAAGGTCATGCCCGTAATTTTGATGTTGTCGAACTTCAAGACAAACCCAAAATGGGCTGGGTAATTATTTTTTTCCCAGCGAAATAAAGCTATGCAATACGAAAGGCAAGAACAGAATAAATTTGCACTATATACTTACACGTAATTAGTTTTATATGCATAAATAATTAATGTACTTGGATACGCTTTCTGTTATAAATGGTTTTTTTATTACGCATAGTGCGATTGATCGTTGTGCTCTCGTAGCGTCGCCGCTGACCTGCGATTAACAAACAAGGCTCGGTACTCTACAAACGCTGCTACAGGTACGCCCAGGAATTACAGATACAGAGCAACGTGATGACAACATCACAGTAATTCAAAATTAATCTTAATTAATTTTGCGCACTTTAACGTTGAGTGATGTAGCTTCTCTGGCTGGACCTGACGTGGGTGATGCAATCGCGGCACTCCTTAAGCGATATTCCTGGCGGACGATTACGCTAATCTGTGATTCATTATCTCGTCACGTTGGATTGTCGAATTTTTTTACTATCCAGTGTAGCGATGCCAAAAAACTAATGAAGGCGGAAAGTTTTCCTGGTTATGTTCGAGATATTGATTCTTCTGTTGGTCAAGACTATGTTGAAATGCTGCAGAATTACAGATACCGTAGCCGAGGTATGTATATATTTTTCCTTTGGTATGAAAAACTCCATCCACTACTGGGAATATAAAATGGGACTTTATGATATTGGCAGTGTTTGTTCTTCTGACGCTGCCGGTATACGTTCGACGCATCATGGTAAGTGCCCCGATGCTGTTGAATGATTAAAGATAAATAAATTAATGGTCGCGCATCAACTAAATCAATTCAGCAAAATGTTAATGCAGAAACGCAATAATAAAATACATTTAATATGCGCAATGTTAGCATACTTAAATATGACGATTTTAAAGCACAAACTGCACAACGATTATGTGCTGGTGCAATAATGCAAAAGTGCAGGATTCATAGAACTTGTCCGAAATACTTCTATACACAGTTGCCACGCATCGATTTTTTAATTGCCTTTTTGCGTTGCGTTTTATAGATAACTGCCAGTGCATTAAATATGACTTCCGGGGAATTTGTAAGTACTCCAGCCACTTCTATCCATTAATGAAAAGATCACTCCTGTTGATAACAATACACTGCATCTCGCAGTAAGTAACAGAACATTTGTATCTCTTGTGTTCAATATGTCCCCACGTTTAATTTAACGTAGGTATCTAAACAAATTTTTTAGTGGCTCGGGGGCAAAAAATTATAATGCCGGCAGCGCTAACGCTTTTTTCTAATTTCTACATACTTGTGCTTGTTTTAATTTTTAATTTCAGGCTTTCATCACAATTCAGCCCACGGAACGGCCAGGAATTGTCGCGGTTACGTGGAACCAGAAAGATGATGAGAAAAATAACTCGGTGCGTGCTGTGTAGTGCACTACAGTCAAGTTCCGTACATGTATAGAGTGTGTCCCAGGGACATCGCAAAATGTGCTACTTGACGTTGATTGGCATGCGCTTACATTACTAAAGGTCGCGTTCCAAGCGTACAGAAGCCTGATAGTTCTCAGTGGACAGAATCCAAACTGGACCGAAATTAAATCCCTGACGGACGAACTCGTCGATGAAAGCCAGCGACGGTTTAATATGACGATTCTTTTCGGCAATGAGGTAACATTAGAAGCATTGTCCTGTCAAATAAGGCCGCGTATGTGTTTTAATATCCCTGCTTACTATGCTATCGGATTACAGAGGAACGAACAAATAACATCGGTGTACGAATCAACAATGATGTTTGCTCAAGTACGATCGATAAGTATTTTACACAATAATAATTGACGCCAAATGGATCGCAAAAGATGCCCTTCGTAATAATTATAATTGTTTTATCGGCAAGTGGAACGTTAATTAACGTTAAATAAATAAATATACAGATTTTTAACGAATCGTATCCAGAAGTGTTCACTATGCCAAAAAGTGCCTTCATCAAAACATACTTCAATCGAGAATTCAACTTTGCTGGCCGCACATACGCTACGGATAAGAACGGAGGGATGGTTGATTTTATTCTTGTCAGCCGCTTGAATGTCAACACGACCAATATGGAGGTATGACACTTACTATTAAATTAGTATTTCACAATTCTTTTTCGAATTTTATAAAAGTATGTATCTGTATATGCAGAGTAGTATTGCTAACCATAAGCTTCATCCACAAATCTGTTAGACGCGTCTCACACATGTATTTGGCACGGCAAAGGTCACCGGTAATACTTGTAGCAAAGTTTATAAGGAGTGTATTTGCACTCTGCTTGCAGATAGCCATGGTTTACAACGCCACGTCAAAAAGTTTCGTGAGTATTGTACCGGAATTATGGAAGTGGGTGGATCGCGATGCTCCGCCTCCGGACAAGCCGTTATGCGGCTTCAAGGGAGATGAGTGCGACAACTCCGATGAAGGTTCGCATACGAAATCACAACATCTCGTTATGATCATAACGATACTCATGAGTATCGTTTAGATAGTACAGTATACATCGTGAACTACGTTATAAGAACCGGGAAGCCCTTTATTCAAACTCTTGTTATTACAGACTTTAAAATAAAAATCGGAGCATCGGTTGCGGCGGTTTGCACTGTCTTGCTGGTGGGCTCATTATACGCTTATTGGTAAGTATTTCGTATCTTCCGCACGAATACCGTCGCGATGCGCCAAGTTGTGTGTTGACCACAGTCGTACCAAACGACGCCAAGCGCTTTACGATCCGTGGTGGATCCTGGACGCCGACAGGCTAAGCTTCGACACGTCGACAGACGTATCAGCAGTATTGATTACCAAAACGAAAAGAGTCGTGGAGATGCAGCTTGGAAGAGTGGCTAAGTATAATGCAAAAGAGGTGTATGCACTAAATATTTCGAACGGCATGGGAACGGACCTCATTCAACACATTGCAAAACGAGGAGATCTTTTAACGAGTTTGTACCAGGTAACTAAAACTGTACGACATCCGGTGCACATACTCTGTCAAACGATTGGCTTACATCATTGTTGCCGTTTTCAAGTATATTTATACTTCTATTGAAAATACCTTTCGCCAGTCCTTCCAATGGTTCTTTAATAAATCAGTGCTGTAAGACATTCGCTCTCCAGACTACTCTAGCCGTGACCTTAATTGAATTTATCTTTTAGCTGCACAGCCTTCAACACAGCAACGTAGCCCGATTTATCGGCATTGTTAGACACACCGCGGAATATTTTCTGATTGCTGAACACGGTCCTAAAGCAACTCTGCGTCAGTTAATTGAAAGAGAAAGCATGCCAATTGACAAAGAACTCAGGCTATCGTTATTGTGGGATTTAGTGGAAGTAAGGTTAATGCACGTCCTCGATGCTGTCAGTTCTATCCTGTTAACTGCTTTCAGCCTACTAAAGGTTCATGTATTTTTTTGAGCTATGTTTGCATGTCCAAAAAACGAAAGTTTATAAACAACCAAATGATAAAATAATGGTAATCAGGGCTTGGACTACCTACATCAAAGTTCTGCCGGATTACACGGGAACCTGACCAGTCTGTGTTGCATTCTGGATGCCAGATACGGACTGAAAATTGCTCAAGCGAAATATAATAAAATCCTACATTTACTTCAAGTGCCGCAAAACGCTGAACTGGAATCTGTGATAGCATTATGGAAATCTCCGGATTTATTATTAAATAAAGCCGTTACTGGGACAATCGACAAGAATACCATAACCAAGGAAAGCGATATATATTCCATGGGAATTATATTTTACGAAATTTATACACGATCCTTGCCGTATGGAGCTGCCGTAACTTCCGTCGACTCCGTCGAAGGTGACCTTTCCGAAACTTTAACACTAAGAGACGGTACCTGACTGTTGTTTTTGGTTGTAGAAGCTGTTGCAAAAATGATAGCCAAAGGTGGACCATCGATTTTTGCCGTTCCAGATAAGGTCATGCCAGAACGGCTACAAACGTTGCTGCGGGTATGCGTGGATATTCCCAACAAACGACCTACCATCCAAGCGTTTCGCAAACAGTTCCGCTCCATACGTAACCGGCCGTCAGCATATCTGCTGCATATTATGAAAAAGCTTGAAAAGCATGCTGAAGAACTGGAAGATATGGTGGCCGAAAGAAACAGGGAGCTGGAAACGGAAATGCACAAAGCTGATACATTACTGCGCGAAATGCTCCCAGCGTACGTCTTGTGGAATAGTCATATTAAACAACAGTTACTTGCTTCCGTAATATTGTCCTTTGTAGATCCATCGTACGACGCCTGCGTAATAAGCAAACCATTGCTCCGGAATTATTCGAAAGCACTACCATAATGTTCAGTGATATACCTGTCTTCCAGCACACCGTGGTGACCTTTCCTCCGTTAGCCATTATCACTTTCCTTAACACGGTGTACTCGCACTTCGACCATCTGATTGATGCCTTTGATGTGTATAAGGTCGAGACCATTAGTGACTCTTACGTGGTAAGTGTGCCGCCGCTAGTATTCGCTCTTGTTGTGATACTAGAATGAAGTATCTCTATAATTCTATTAAAACAAAGTACATCTGCAATTAATAATTTGACATCGCTTATAGATGGTTAGCGGCCTTCCGGTTCCCAATGGAGCCGATCATGGGCGGGAAATTTGTAAGCTCGCTATCGCTTTAGTTAAGGCATCTCGGCGGCTACACGTCGGTCTCCCGGAAACGAGCGTCCAGCTTAGGATCGGGATTAATACAGGTGCATAAACAAAGTATCCAAGAACCTGTGTGTGTATATATTCTTAACAATGAGAACCATAACAGCTTGAGCCAGCCAGTGTGTTTTGCAGGACCAGTTGTTGCCGCCGTGATCGGCAAACGAATGCCGAGATACTGCTTGTATGTATAGTATGTTTCTTACTTTTCTTGTCTCGGCTCATGATTATTATAATTACAGTTAAATTGATCAAATTTTGCGCGTTTTGGTATTATCTTTTTGAAGTTAGAGCGTTTGGTTGTGTAGGTTTGGAGATACGATGAACACTGCCAGTCGTATGGAGAGCAATGGACAAGGTATCATAAACATTAAGCAGAACGTTCACTATATGTTCGTACACAAAATATATAGTCAAAATAGTAAAACTGAATTAATGATATTTATTTAGAGGGAAAAATTCATATTAGCATGGGAACTAAAATGATGATTGAAGATCTCGCTACTTTTGCCACGGAACCAAGGGAGCCAATTCACATTAAGGTGACCCAAAATTTACGACAAATTATGTTTATAATACGTACTTAGGTTTATAGCTGATGTCGCCTGACGACCATTCTCTCCTCTATAGGGAAAAGGAGTAATGCATACATTCTGGTTGGTCGAGAAGAATTTCGTATAATTGGCGACAAGATTCCGCACAAAATCCGCAGAAACCGATGAATTAAACTAAAACTAACTATAAGTTTTTGTGATGATCGTGACCGCTTCCCGTATGATTCGACACACCTACTTATCAAATTTTCATATTTTTTGTGATATTCTCTTGAAATTAAAGGAACTAAGGAATGTGCAGTTTGTGTAATGCATCGGTCCATGTCATAATTCCGTAATCTTTACGCCTTGGCAGACCCGTTTTTAAGGGGGGGTTTGCCCCCCCCCCCTTCGGGAGCGAAAACTCTTGAAAAAAGTGCGCCGGGAGCTGGCGCATGGCGCGAAAACTGGCGCAGAAGCGAAAAAATGGGACTGGCGCAGGGGGGTGCACCGAAATTTTCGAAGAAAATCGTAGAAAAGTGGCTCAAAAAAGCCACTTTTCTAGATTTTCCTCAAATTTTCGGCCATTTTCCAACTGGCGCGGCTGGCGCGAAGCCATGCGCCACCCCCTTCAAACAAGCTAAAGACGGGCCTGCGCCTTGGTATGTAATTAATAAAGTATACATAACTGCTGCTGCTGTTACTCGTACCGTTTCATTGAATTACGGAATAAATGTTGACTGGGTGTCTGGGTATAATCGATACTTTTGTGCGCATTATGCGTAAGCAATAATTATCACTGTAGGACTAAAGCTGCACTTACAAAACAACTTAAAAAATGCTTATTGTGCTAGTGCAGTGCAACCTTATGTACCTCATGATTACTTTTAAGATTACTTTTAAGGTGTACTTTTATACGGACAGAATATCATCGGTCAGTTGATTATACGAGTATACAGAAATAATCATTCAGTATCGGCAAGTAAAATTGTTTTGCGTTATTGCATATGCATGGTTATAAAACCGGCTCGGAAATTGCACATTTTTATTATAGTGTAGCTGAGAAATACATACATAATCTGTAAATAGGTTCAAAAGAGTACAAATAATAATCTGTTTAATGTGTGTCTTGTGATTCAGCGCAAACAGAATGCAAATTAATAATTATGAAGTTTTTCATTTTGCTTCATATTGTGTACTTTGTATCTAGAAGACAGTATAGAAGCAAGATTTATGTTGTGCGATGTATTTATACCCAGGTATAAAAAAATTTAATAATATTGTATATATAATACCTGGGCAGTATAGTACGGTATATCGGCCTGCGCGCATTAAATGCAAATAAGGTGAATAAACGACGTGGAATTTTTTACTGCAGCCCTGAATTGAGCGGTTGTAATGTTACAGTGTATTGTAGCGATAGTATTTGTACGAACGATAAGACCACCCCGTTATGATTCATCTTCCATCGCGTTATGAATTTGTCCACTTTACCGGCTACCCTATCAATAGTTTCTGTGTTATCAGACATACTTATGCGTTCTGGCTGAGTGAGTCACGAAAAAACTGATGTGGTAGATACTTTTGCATAACGTTTCACAAAAGTCACGTTCCATGCGGACATGCTAACGTGCACACAGTACTTCTTTATCTGGACCAGATTAAACATTTGTGTTTTAACGACAAATTCATCGGCAGTACACAAAAAAAGTTACCCACAAGAAAATAATGTCGGATATCGGCAATTCTTGAGCAGAATACTAATTAGCGTAATTACCGAAGATAACAAAACATTGCCGTTAAGCGCGCTTGATGTAGCAGACGATGCACAGTATTAATTTCTAAATTTCAGACTGCGCATATCCTAATCACGATAATCTAAACTGATTCGATGGCGGGCTAACTATGTACATTCCATCTTTAGGTGGGCGTAGCAATACCATCTGTTTACTGATGGACTTCGTCTCGAAAAGCACTAGATCTGATTGTTCATCCAACGTGGCTGGGAAAATGTGGTCAATTTTCGCTTCCCGTGTGCCGGCTACAGGACCGTAATTATCATTACGTAATAACAAATGACCGGATACGAATGAATCGGTTATGATCACGCAGCGGTCGTCTACAACAGCAATCACGTGATCCACTGCGATAACAATTCCGTCATCCGTACACACTATGCACTCGTTCCGCAAATAACCTTCGTTTCTTTCTCTTGTTCGGACAAAAATACCATTCTCCACTTTACAACGTTGGAATGTAAACATTTGCGGCGCTGAGCGATGTAAACGTCCTTGCAGTAGGCGATAAACCGTATGATGAACTGGCAGGGGAGTGGCCTTGCCGATAAAAGTGCAGCGGGCGCCGGATACTCCAGCTTCCGGCAAAAATTCGGCTTCTCTGAAACATCAAATAGTCTCGTTGTAGATTAAGAGCAGAATATTAAATTACGACTTTTAGCCTGTAATGCAGTCATAAAAATTATAATTATGAAGTTGGATCAGCCAAAAATTTAATCAGCGATTTCATAACATGATAAAATATGATAAATGGATTAACCTTGACAGTCCGAGTACGGCGGAAACCGCATGATGCGTCGCACTAATGCCTGTGCTGTTATTCCGTGCTTCATTTAATTTGAGAGCGCAGGTGGTTAACATATTAGAGTTGTTCATGATATGCTTAGCGGTGTTATTCATTGCGAGGACGCGTCGAGAAATCTTGCCAATATTGTGTTCCGGTCCGTAGCACGATAGTATATGTAGCGGTCCAAACAGTTCAACCGCGTATGGAATATGCTGCATCAAGTGGACAAAATATTTCATCTCGCAAATTCCAAAGTAATGATTCAAATGATTTTAAGAAATCATGGCACTGAGTTCGAAGTTCGTTGATATCAGTTGTCGTGATAGATTCTTTCGTGCACAGCCAAATAACACGCGAAGCATGGCAAAAAACTTTGTAAACGTTTTCCGGTAAGATGTTTCTTAACACAAATGGCGCGGCATGCTGCATAAAAAATCTTAACTCATGTGCTTTCATCCTTTTATACTCAAGAATATCTCGTGGTGGTCGGTTGTGATGACCAGGAATCACAACGGACATCCATTGCTCGTTAATTTGTTGAATTTTTGTTTTGGGAAGGCGTAAGACAGAGTCCTGTTCACATAACTGTCCCAGTAAGTACTTGGTAACGCCTTCATCGAACTGGTGCATTATATCCAACACAAATCCTTCGACAAGGTCAAAACCTTCAATCTGCGATAGCACCGTAGGGCGTTTCATGCCGAACGTGAGATGCTCTTTAAGAGCAATCTGTCTTTGTTTGGTATTCATTGTTTCCCAAACTGACGCCGCTTCTTGCAACTTGTCGTGAGTTTTTAGAACCGCATTGGGTTTGAAAGCGAAGCATATTCTGTGGTTGATGCAAACTCCAATTTGCAAGCAGTACATACACGACTGCTTAGCACTATGCGATAGCTGTCCCGATACCGCTGACCGTTCAGGAGTGTCAGCCACATACGAGTGTAGCAATATTTGGGACTCGTGGGTAACGCCTTCGCAGTCACTCCAACAAACCTAAATAAAATTCTACACTTTAGAATTTTATTTATATATATACCGCTAACTTATACGTATTTACATCGTATTTTACAACAGGTTAGAATACTGTTTCCATTTTAGCTATGTAAAAATAATACTGAAGTACGAGTAGCACACTAGAAGGCCAGCATATAAGTACTGCACGTAAGTAGCAGGTCAATTTGTGCTAAATATCATGTCGGGATATTTAGTTAGGATACAAATTTATGTAGAAGTACAGTGAGTTTCAAAATACACAAGTATTCGCAATATATACAGATCCGCCAATATTGCAGTTTTACAAAACAAGCCGGTTAATGTCTAAGCGTATACATTTTTAAGTGTGTTTGCTAAGATGTATGTAGAGGCAGGCTTTACTGTGCTTACCGGTGCAAAGTTTTCATTTTCTCTTTGAGATAACTGGATTTGTCGCACGAGCTCCATCAAAAATGGCTCACGGTCTTTCGGAAGTTCACTGCCAGCCCAGATGGTATGCAAAAACCATATCGGCAGCCGAAGCCCGAGCGGTACATTCAGACACTGAGTGAACATGAGATATAATTTTTTGCTGGTACTTTTACTCAAAACTGCGCCGTCACTATGCATAACAATGACAAGGTCGTCGTATCGTGCTTGGAGTTGACGAAATCGTTTCCCGTCTTGAACGTCGCGCATGACGTTACCACATTCGGTTCTGCGTAAGCTGTACTTTCCAAACTGTTTCATCGTGGCGTTAAGGATATTTTGTAAAGGATTGGTAACAAAATAGTTACCATCCTTGTAAACATCTTTTTTTGCATGAGTCGCGCCGCAACAATCACAAAAATGACCCGGTACATAGCTTCAGAAATGGGATACATACACTAAACTGAAACTTTCGCTTGCGCGCACTCCGAATCACTTTTTTTAAAACTTTATGTCATTTTAAAGCTAAATGATTTGTATATGTTGTTCTGAAAATCTAATTTTAAAATGAATTTCAAAGTATTTTAAAATAATTTTAAAATCGGGAAAAATGCTATGGATCTGAATTTGGTTCACATTCGACTTTACAGCAGTGTGCTTTTTATAGCAAAGTTTCGAAAAGGTCGGATAACAACCAGACTTTTGGTTCACAACAATGCATTTGAAATTAAAATACTTTAAATGCATAAATTAAAGTACTTTGAAATTAAAATACTTTAAATGCATATGCATTTAAAATTTTCCGCCATTTTATAATGTGCAATATCTCGGCAACCAGATGTTGCACGCGCAAACGAATTTCAGAACATTGTATACAAATTATTCTGCTTCAATATGACACAAGCTTTTAAAAAAAGTGATTCGGAGGGCGCGCAAGCGGAAGTTTTAGTGTATGTATCCCATTTGTTAAGCTATGGTACAGTGGCATTTTCCTTAAAAAGACTTTCTTATAAAAGTTATATATACAGAACAATTGATTTAGACTTTTTCCATGCACTGGATTACTTCCATTGATAATTGTTAAATCTTTTTCAGTTGTCAAGAGTGTTCCCTTTACTTTCCTAATGGCCGAGGAGGAGGCGAAGAAAAACGGTTGTTTAAAGCTCGATGAAGCCGGCGACATCTTTATCAGTGTGGACAAGCTGAACGACTTGAAACTGGATCCCAAGATTACGCGCGCTTCCAAATATGCCAAATCTTTAATGAAGGTCATTATGGACCATGAGAACCTTGCCATTGCGTACAATCACAAGCAGAAGGGTGTCGGTTTGGCTAAGGTGCTGGGAAAAAACAACTGGCTCGCTTTCTGGAGTAAGTACAAAGCCTACACAAATATACATGAAGCATAATAAAAAAAACTTGTCATTGTACAGCACTGCATATTGTAACGAGTGACAAAATTTCGCTGGTTTTGCATTTATCAAACTAGATATTCTGTTTATTTAACCGTATACCGCTTTTTATAGATCACGTGAAATTGCATCAGCGACGAATGATCAAAAGGGACCCGGCATCCCGATGGACTGAGACCTTGGACGTGGAAAAGATCCAGGAAAAGCTGCGGAAAAGCTATAGCGACCGCATTCGCACTTTTGCGGAAATGGAGAAGCTGTTTTCTTAAGGTTTTAGACTTTCGGGTTTTGGACACGTGTTTTTTACAATATACAGCCCACTGCGACATTTATTTTATTTCATCTTCATGTATCGTAATGTGCTGCGTGGTTTTATTTTGGCATTGCAGTGGAGCGGTGTGTTCTTGTTTTAGAATGGTGAATTAGTTTTCTTCTAAGTGTACTTGTGTTCAGTATGCAGCGTTAATTTTGTTTCTGTTAAGGTTATTATTTGTCAGTTGTTTCATTAGTGCTCTTGATTATCAAAATTCGAGCCAATTAAATTTGCGCTGATAACTTTGCAACGTCCAAAATTGTGTATAATAACATGATTCGCTACAGCAAACGATTAATATAAATATATATTCTACTGAATTCGCAGTAATTATTGGCAGTGACCTGATATACGAAACACACATTTTACCGTCAAAAAGTACATTTTTGCACTAGTACAAAAAAGTCGGAAAAAACTAAAAATTGTCGTTGAGCGGACAAATTTGTCTCACAGGATAAAAACGTAACGATTTAAGGGGTATTGTGAATCACACGTATCACGTGTCACCAAACGTACGAAAAAAAGTGCTGAAAAACCTATCATTGACACAAAAACTTTTAATAGGGCTAGTTTCCTTTCTCATGAATTTCTAGAATTCAGTCTTGTGCCCATTGTCAGCTTGCTACAGCTTGCATCTACTTAATCAACTTACCCTAAACTCTTGCCCTAAACCTTGCTCTGTTTCTTGAACGCCGTTGCCATTAAACATGTCTTGAGTTACACTGTTGCGTTTGACCGCTTGGGATGAACCAGCGTCATCCCAATCGGAGCCACCTGTGTAATTGAGTTACATCAGTAAGAGCGTCCTCGGCCAGCATCGTTGCCGGCCGTACCACCTTTCATCCCATTGCAGCCGCATAATCGTGGTAAAGTCTGATCGCCACCCCACTAGAAAAGCAGCCAGATAGGCTGTTGTTACAGTATAGTGTACCTAAAAGCATAAAATTAAATGTGCTCGCATGCCCATGCTCGCATAATTATCGCTTAAATGCAATGCCGCACTGATAGAATTTCTCACATAATATTATTGTTTCGCAATATAGGCCTATTTCGGATACCAGTATACATTATTTTGTTAATATTACTCGTATTATTGCGGTGCTTTATGGAAGATTCAATAATAATATTTCTATAATAATAGTTATGAGTTCTCGTCACCATAGCCTGGAATTATTACTGCACTGCAGTTGTGTTAATTAAGTAAACGATTGGATCAGCGATTGACTGATTGCACTACCGGCCTGCAGTTTTAACATTTTACTTTAATAATTATCATATTATGCTTAACTGCATTAATTTGTTCGTGGGCAATAGTGACTTACATAATTTAAATATTTTTTAAAACTGCTTTTCATTTGTTTTTCTACGACTACGAGTAGAATACGAATCAAATTAGTGTATAGTACCGTAATCATTGTTGTAGTTAATGAGAAGAAACTATTTTGATGGTATGGCTATCGCTGTAACGCCCGTTCAACACTCCCACACGGAAACAGAGCGAGGATATACAGCGCCGTATTGATGTCCTGATACACTCAATGTGAACCATGGCTTCACGTCTTTGCGCCACATTCCATCGCCTCACCAGTCATGCCTTACCACACACTGCTGTACAGTCAAAATCAAAGTGAAAATTTCTGCACGAATTTTTGCCATGCTGACAACGTGCTTGCTGCGAGTTTTCCTGATGTCGTAATAAACGTGATACTAATTTCACATGGGTTCTCCTTGAATCGGGATGCCTCCTGAATTTCTCTAGTATACCCCTTACTCTTCGTCTCCCCATTCGATCAACGAATAGAAGAATGGATTTTGGTGATAACGAGCGTTCCAGTCCGCAGTCCAATCATCATCATCTGCTGGCGTTGCCCGACGACGACGAGGACGACGGGACGTCTGCGGACCCGTCCTTCTCCTTCTCCATGGCCCCCTTAACGTCTGTTCCCACAGAAACCGAGCCACGACCCTCACGCACCGTTTCGGGCAGTCAGGACCTGTATGCTCAAAATGCCCACACCTGGATTCTCTTTCAAGATGCTGCGGCCAGCACTTCCAAATTGTACCAAGGTATACATCAGTCAGGGCGCTATGGCCCTGTGGGCATTTTTTATGGTGACAAAATGATTGAAAAAAAATACTGAAAATAGAAAAAAATTTAAGTTGAAGGTTAAGAGGTTGGGCGGAAAGACTGTTTAGGTGTCTGCAGGGTCATGCTAAAACACTGAAGGGAGAACCCTCCTCCTATTCGACTGTCTATCAGGGCGAATTACAGACATATCATTTGTTAACTTTTCACAAATTTCACGTTCAGTTTTTCATATTCCTATGTACAACTTTTTTATGCTGCAGCCAAAGCCAGGAAAAATAACGTAAATGTGCATTAAAATTTAGTTTATCGGACTGTGTTAGGACGTGAATTAAATTATGTGTTATTTTTTATTTTCGATCCAGCAACGGCTATGATGTGTGCGATATTACTCGTACTTTTGCAATTTGTGATTGTTTTTGCTGTTAAAAATTTGCATTAATTTTGTATTATTTGAAAAAGCAATGCGTTACACTGTTACTGTGTTACAGTTTTTTTCTTAAAGGAGTTCAACCTGTTCGTTCTTGAAAATACGATTTTCTTAAAATTGTTGTCTTGTGATGTCGAGAATAAGTATTAGTGGAATCGCCGTAGTAATATTAGTTCAGTTTAGTTGTGTAACTTGTGTTCTATTAGTTGCCACATTCATGAGCTCCTGTTGATGTTACGCTGACAATGAGTGTTCACGACGAGGTGAAAGTACCTCAATAAGCAGTTCTGTTTTTTTCAGCCCGCTCTTCCGGACAGGACGGACACTGGCATAATTTCCAGAATGCAGCCCGCTCCATTTCATTGCTGTATAAAGGTAGGAGTATTGTTTTTTTTTGAGTTTTCTTTCTTTAATTATGATTAGTTATGTTCGCTGTAAGTGTAGCCGTCGTAGTTTTCATGTCGTCTTTATGATTCATTATCTGAAAACATTTTCTATTTACTTTACCGTGCGATCCTTTTGGTATCTTGAGGTAACTTTTCACCAACTTTTCTTTATTTCTTCCAAATAGTGGAATTTTTATTTCATGAAATACAGGTACATAACAGATTCTTCCAAATTGTCGCCCGCAAGTACACGTCGAAACACCCTTTTCGTACTTAATATTTTGCGATCTGCTGGTTCATATGATTGCATTTATAAGCCAGGCAGACCTGTTTTTATAGTGCGTTTGATGATCGTGTGGTTGCGTTTCCTTTCTGTTAAACTGCCATCCGTTCATCCATTTCAGTTGGCTGCGAAAGTGGCTGTTTTTATTTACCATTCATTTTACCATCTTGTCTTGTATTTTTAAAGTTCGGTAGGAACTTTTGAATAGCCAGATGCCGGTTGAAAAAATTGTAAAAAAGGAGAAGATAAAATTGGTTGTGGTCGCATTTGAACGCAGAAGGAATAAATTGAATTTGGCATAGCAGGAATGATAGAATTCTCAAGAAAATGTGGATATAGTTACGCAAGTAATTCCTGTTTAATTGTATTTATAGAGAGTCTGGATCTGCAGCAGCGTTCCTATGATAGCGGCTACCGAGCCGGCGTGGAGAAGGCCTACGGCGCTGTGATGGAGTGGCTGGTGCAGGATCCGCGTTACCATTCACGCAAGAACATCCGCACGGATGATCTGATCAACTTCATCTATTCCCCAAAGAATCCCGCGGCCTTAAACATCAAACTACGTCCCACCAAGGCCATGGAGCGCAGTCTGGCCGGCAACGACGCCCATCTCACCACCGACCACCAGCTGGGTGATCTGCAGACCTTCCAGGATGCGCTGCATGTCTCCAGTAAGTGGCTGGCGCTAATGGTGTTTCATTTTTCAGTTGCGTCCAATTTGTCCGTTCTCCGCAAGCGAAGTTTATGCTGTTGCATTATACTGAGTTTCAGCTAATTCGTCCTGGCTTGCCATGTAACTGGGAAAGCTTAAATATGATACTGCGACATTTAAAACTAATGAAATAAAAATTAATATAGAAATATAAAGATAATATTATAGAAATTTAGTGGGTAGAGATATGAAGTCATAGATATAGATAGTTTAATATAGAAGTACTCGTATAAAGTCATTATATTTTGCGTGTCTGTCGTTATATGCGGATCGGTAAGTACGTTACTGGAAGGGAGTTTTCTGATTACTACGTGCGTAAATATGCTTAGCTTTTTAATTTCTTTCTATTAAATTTTGTATTAATCGTCAACAGGCTGTCGTTTCTCCATCCAAGTCGCCGAGTTACGGGAGACCTATGTGTGTCTCGCTTTCGGCATTAATATCGTAGTTCTGTATTATCGGTCGGCAGTTAATTCAGTTATCTAATTTGTCTTACACGGTGCACACTTGTTTTTGGTAATTTTTATTTAATCTAAATAATTAAAATATTTGTTTATTATATTAAATAAAAATATTTGTTTTTTAAAATATTTTTTATTTTTTAAAATATTTTTTAAAATATTTGTTTATTATTTTCCTCCCAGTGAATTAATTCGATGGCCGATCGGTTAAATAATTCGAAGGTATAACTGGAAGCGATATACCTTCGGGCTTCTGATAATGACAGCTTTTGAGGTACGTATAATATTTTTGCGATAATAATATTATTTTTATTTTAGGTTTGAACGTGGCCATGTCGCACTTCAGCGTCAACCGGTCGCCACCGCGCAGCTCTCCGCCGCGTGGCCGTCCCGTGGATCTGCACGCCTTCGTCACGGAGGAGATCCGGCGTCATAAGCGCAGCAGCGGCAGCGCCTTCGACCTGGACGACGACGAGGACAGTCTGCCGCCGGCCGCCTTCAAACGCTCCCGCTACACACCGCCGAAATAACACACACACAGCCGACGCGACCCAGACGCGCGCATGTGTGTTGTATCCTGTGTGTAAACAAATCCAGAGCTGTACAGTAACCCTACAAAGTCTTTTCTATGGATGACCGTCTTCTGTTGCATGCTGTGGCTTTATTACTGAGGCGCTTCCGTATTGCATGTGTCGTTGCTCGTTTGTCGGTAGTTGGATTAAATGGAGAAAGGAAGAGAGCAAATATTGTGTTTACAGTTGTTTTTTTCTCTGTTTGTAGCGGGCACCTGTGACTGCTGTGCTGTGCAGAGTTGGTTGACGTATATTGTTTTTCTTTTTTTTATAAACAAGATCGCTGTAAATGAACTCTTATTTTAGAGCACTTTTGCTTGGCGTTGGCATTAAACACTTCTAACCGGAAGTAGGGGATGCGTACTGTATGTCGGACCTGTGTAACCAGAGGTGTTTTATCGAAGTTGTTACTATTTTTTCTGTGATTAAGAGCGTTTCCGTGGTTTTAGTAATACCGGCACAAGTAGCAGAAAACATTAATTGTTCACATACCTGTACTTGTTAATTATAAAAAATTAACTCACATATTATTTTTATTTAAACTGCAACTCCTTAATTTCTTAGAACACCATGCCGTCCATGCGCAAGCAGGATTAATAACTACGAGACTGCGAGTACAGTACGTACATGTACAGTAATAACGAGTATCAAAGTATCGATAAGTAAGTTTCGCGCTCGAGGTTTCGGAAAAAGATTAACATGGTTTCTGTTAATCGATGGCTGCAGCTTGCTTATTCTTGGATCCCATCTGTAGTGTCGCTTGAGCCTGCAGATGTGCAGAATCTTCACATTAAGCATTAGAATAAATTGCTGTAATTATGTAATAACATGGTCTTGCTGCAATTCATGGTCATGGTGTAATACGTGATTAGCGCTGCAGGTGATGTCGTGAAGAGATTGTGTTCAGTTTTTCTTTAGAGTTCCACGATATATTTTCAAGACAATAATTAAGTACCTGCATTCTGCACAAATTATAAGAGCATAATAATTTGATAGACTTCCGTAACCTTTTTCGTCAATCTCGTTAACCTAATTTTTTGCTCTGTTGTAGCTGTATTATTTGCTCAAGGGTTTAGCGTATGCATCATCAGCTTACGGAAAATATTTTCAGATTATTTGACTGTCTTGGCTATGCGTCTGTATCCGAGTGACGACCGTGAAAAATGCTGTGAGTTTTTTATTGCAGAGAAGTATTATATCGAGTTATACTCGTATCTTTTAAAACTGTCATCATGAATGGAATAATAGTAGCTGTGATTACTATCGGGATGTTAGGCTGCAGTAAGTGCTCAGTTATTATTGAAATTCGAACCTTTAACTAGATGATGCTATCAGCAATTTAAAAGCTAAATACTCGTAATTACATCTATTTTTGCTTCTAAACAGGTAACTGTACCTATAATTTTGGCTATTTTGCTATTATAATCATTTAAAAAAAAACGATTGCCGCATATTGTATAAAATAGTGGCAAACGGAAGCTAGTGCTGACTCACAAAATTTCTGAGCTTAAATTGAGGCTCGACAGTTAAAGGCTCGACAATTACGTACAAAAAAAGTTAAACGTTCTGCAGGGGCATATGGCCAGTTAATAATCATGTCAGCCATATTTGTTGAAAAATCCGGTTGCTAAAAACAGTCATATGCGGAATGCATTTTGAATAAGCGTATATTTGGTACTAATAAAAATTGGTCTCAACATCAGAATCTACAGTCTTTAAGTTCTGTAACTTACTTAAAAATACAACTACAATCGAATCTGTTGTCTGACTACCCAGCTCATAATAAAAAAAAAACATTATTTGAATTAACCTATCTTACATGCGTCATATTTTTTCTGTGCGTGCACATACAGTGGTGTGTATTCTATAAAGTGCAAATTTTGAGAATTGGTAATCTTATAATGACATTATGGCAATTATATTGAACGTTTATAATATACTGTAACTAATTTTAATTGACAGCATCGTGGTATGATCGTACTCGTATATATGGTTTTGTTTTGGGTAGCCTCTGCACAGGATCTCACCGGTCTGATTAACAGCGCCTCATCCCTGGGCACTTCCCTGGGAAAAATTGTCGATGCCGTGGCCGTGGTGTCACCCAGTCTGTTGAGCAATCTGACCGGCATCGTCGCGTCCGCCAACACGTTTTCCGGCAGTGTAGCCAGTTCGTCGAACAGTATTGTCGGCAGTTCCACCGGCATCCTGTCCTCGACGAACACCATAGGAGCCAATATGGCCACACTCAGCACTCTCATGACGCAGATGCGACAAAATCCCATTAGCAAGATCAACCTTCGGCTGGATGGACCGCGAACTAGCGGTGATCTGTTCACGATACTGTTTACCTGATTCTTACGGGAGTAGTTAAGCTTTCTATGTGCGCAGGAGGCGCACACGATTGGAACTTCTTCTACAGTGTGTTTCGACCATGCAACCCGATGGCCGATGCACATATCACAGACGTACCCATGATATGTAATTATTTACTACAGCATGCTTATACTTTGTATTTACTGGCTGCACATGTTGTTATGCATTTTATCGGTGGGTTTAAATTTCCGAAGAAAACTATGTACGAGCAGTACAGACTGTATGTAGGCCAAAGCCGGCCTAGCGAGACGCGTTTCTTGATAAACTGTCGAACTGGTGTTCCACTACGAATTGTTAATGCTCCAGTATTTTCCGTACTGCCAGCTTGATTTTTTCTATGTTCGTAATTCAAACCAATAACTGATAGAGCAGCGAATGGGGATATGCCACAGTTCGGCGGTAGAGGACCTCATTCTTATTGTCTGCTGCACAATACCGCGCGAAGCTGAACAATTAACGATACAGATAGAAAAATGGTTGTATAATGTACGTATTGCAAGTTACAAATGCGAGATGTTTCAGATGAATTTCGTTAATACATTTTGGTAATATAAATATAATGTATTCGGGGAAATGATTTTATACACGGTTACACATCTTCCCGTCTAGTCTCTGCACGTTCTCTTCCTCTTAAATCTGTTTTGGTGATTCAAGGTTGCTTTGTATTTCAGTTTTTGTACCAGAAACGGAAGAGTTTTTCTCGGAAATATTGTTTCTGGTTAACAGAAACGAAGCGTTACCTCACCGTAGCAACCTTTTACTTTAGTATTCTGGAAAATTGTGAATGGTGCTTTTCGTGGATTGCATGTAAATTACTCAAACTTAAAAAAAAACATTTTTACGTACGCTGAAGCCGGGAAGCGTCTAGCTGTTTTTACTGATGTATTTTAACTAAATGCCGGTCAAATTCATCCGACAGAATAACTGAAGTTTGCGTTTACTCGCTAACTTGTCTTAACAATGCGAGAGAAACGCCGGCAAGAGCTGCTCTCTTTTTTTGGACAGGACATCAATGTTAGCCGCCGGACTTTGAGCGAACCGACGGATGCTTTTCTCCTCCTTCCTGGAATGTACCACGAGCATGTGTGCCAGCGAATCGCCTGCCTTTCCTGTGACGGAGAGATCAGTACGATAGGAATAATTACCGTAATAATCTATCCTACCGACCTACTCAACGACAGAGAATGAGCTAATAATCGCAATGTGGCATAACTAAGTCTACGAATCTAAGCGAAGCGAGAACTGCATCTCCGACGTCTCTGTTCGGGGCACATACGGTAGGTTTTCCGGTGACGGTAACGGTATGACTCACCACAAATTTACCGTTTTTCTGCCTGTACCGTACCGTAGATAACGATAGAAAGCGTTGGTATCGTTGGGCATCTCCGGTAGAATCTTGTGAGCCGTGGAATTAGTGGATTATCGTTTTGTCAAAACAGATAAGCACTTAAAACATCGCTCTATTTAATAAATATTTTGAGCAAGCAATAAAAGAGAAATAACATCCAGAAACAATTTATTTTGTGAGGGACTAACACACCGGTCACACCGGTCACGCTCTTGCAAATTCACTTCACAATTTTTTATTTAGTGAGACCGGACCGAGCCCGAGCCGAACTGTGTATCGAGCGTTATCGTTGTGCTTAGCGAACACACGAACTTCTAACGGTGATGAAAACCATGACGGTAGGCTACTGTTATGGTTACCGGAAAACCTACCGTGTGTGCCCCGAACAGAGACTTATTTTAATTAGAAACTCCGATCACTGCCAAACTCATAATGCGAGAACTGATCCCCAAAGTACTGCCACTCACGGACTTATATAGACACGGCGCATCCGTGTAGAAACAACCGAAAGTAAATCCGAACACAAAAGAGAAACGTCGAGAAAGTACAGTGAATAATAGAAAGTACGAGTAAAGCCGTCACTTTACGTACTACATCGCTACCGTATGCTATATCACGTCACCTGTTTGCGTACGGTGTGCAAAACTGCCATTTTACCTACGGACTACCTAACCGTCAGTTCTACCTCATGCTGGCCCAGTTGCATTTATCGAATCAGTGTTTTTTCGGCATGTGCGATTCTTTTGCCTGTTATCTTCATTGTTGTGTGTGTCAGAGTTTGATATTGATCATTGAAAGTTAACGTGTGTAATCTTCCTGTTAATAATATGACTAGACGGCGCGGTAGGAGACCCAATGCGCCTGAACCACTTGCGGCACGGCCAGCTCGCAGACGTCCACGTGCGCGCGCGAACCCTGTTACCCGTCCGACAACAACTGGAGAAAGTATTGGCGCGGAAAGCGCAGGAGATCTGGATGCTCGGATTGCCATGGCGAAACAGCAGTTGCAGTCGTTGTTAGCGCTGAAGGCCGCGGACGTCATCCCTGTTTTGTCGACACCGGCGGCACCACAACCACTGCCTCCACAGCCACCAGCGACGGAAACGACTATGCTGCTTCAGCTCATGATGAATCAGCAGAACCAGCTTGCCCAGCTTACTCAGAAAGTCAACGAGGCCCAGGCGACGCCATCCAACAGCACCGGAGCGAGTAACAGTGTCTACCTGCCGCCGGTGTGGTTGGAGTATGATAAGACCTTTCGTGCATGCCGCATCCGTGATGTCACCAACCATGATCAGTGGAACCTGCTGGACCGAAACCTGCTGGACGGCTGTATAGCCCGAAATCCGCTTCGTGCTCATCTGCCATTATGTCGCGACTGCAGCATTGCGGACCATACGGATCAGGACTGCCTGAAAAAGCTCCAGTTCACTGCACACGGTCAAAAAGACGCCAAGGGGGGTCGGCGTCGGCCCTTTCGACACGTCCCGCCAGACTTGTGCAAGAACTGGAACAACGGGAGATGCACTAACGGGTCAAACTGCTGCTTCAAGCACTTATGTGGAACATGCAGGGCGGCCGACCACACCGTCCACGAGCACGTTTCAGCCCAGCATAAGCCTGCCGCTAACGTCAACGCCAAGGCCGGAAGTAGCGACGCCCGTTTCCGCCGAGAGACTCGCTGAACTAATGGTAGCGCATAATGACCGCGAGTTTGTGTATTTCCTTTTACAGGGTTTCAGGTTTGGTTTTGCCATTGGGTACGAAGGCCCGCAAATTCGCCGATTTACCGCAAACGCACGCTCGGCTCTTCTTGACCCATACGTTATCACAGCAATGATCATAAAAGAAGTGAATACCAACCACACGAAAGGTCCTTTTCATGTGGAACCGCACCCGCATTTCGTCGTAAATCCGCTCGGGCTGCGTCCAAAAAGACCATCAGGCCACCGGGTAATAATGGACCTGTCGCAGCCATTTGGGTTCAGCGTGAACGACTATATCCCGAAAGATAAGTACTCGCTGACATACATAGGAGTAGATGATGCAGTTAAAATGGTGATGTTTCATGGTTGAGGGTCGTTGATGGCAAAAGTTGATATCGAAAGCGCGTTCCGGAATTTGCCAGTTAGATCGGCCGACTGGCACCTACTGGGATACAAGTGGGAAGGAATGTTTTACCATGATGTAGTGGTCCCGTTTGGCTTGCAATCAGGCCCATTTCTATTCGACACGTTTGCTAGCGCCCTTGAGTGGATATTTAAAAAATGCACTGGTAGCGATACATTTTTGCATTTTCTCGACGATTATTTCATGTGCGATAAGCCAGCAAGTCCAGCTTGTGCGAGATTAGTGATGCAGGTTCAGCCAGTATGCAAGTATTTAGGCGTTCCGATAAATGACAAGAAGCTGGTAGGCCCAGCTACAGTGATAGAATTTTTGGGTGTCGAAATTAACACCGAGAAATTTACGCTATCAGTATCGGCTGCTCGTTTGACGGAGTTAACGGCATTGCTCGAAAGTTTCTCCGCGTGTACGCAATGCACAAAGCGTGAGCTTTTAAGCCTTGTTGGAAAGTTATCTTTTGTGACAAAATGTATACCTGCTAGCCGAATTTTTCTGAGACGCATGATCGAGCTGAGCTGTAACGTAAACCGGCTGTATCACAGAATTACGTTGACCGACGGTTTCCGTCGCGATATCGCGTGGTGGAGAGAGTTCTTGCCGGCATGGAACGGGACGGCCGGGTTTGTGCAGCCAGAATGGCTACCAGCAAGTGTACTGCACTTGTAAACTGATGCAGCAGGCTCGATAGGTTATGGGGGAAAACTCGGTAGTGAATGGTTTCACGGAGCATGGCCGACTTGGCTGCTTGAATTGAGCCCGCCGATAACGTTTCTCGAAATGTACCCGATTTATGTAGCATGTGTTGTGTGGAATAAAAAGTTTCATGGGAAACGCGTTATGTTCCACAGCGATAATACTGGAACAGTTCAGACATGGTCGTCAAGCAGTTGCAGGAACCCAGCGGTGATGGAGCTTATACGTAGAATTCATTTTGTCACTGCTCAGTTTAATTTTGTAATAAAAATAACGCACGTTGCGGGTGTCGATAACAATATTGCTGACGCGTTATCCCGATTGCATTTGCAACGTTTTCGTCAACTCTATCCGCTGGCGAATGTCGACGGCATAACACCGCCAGATTTGCTTACACGACTGCGACCGTTCCTGACGAGGAAAGAGCCTCCAATAACAGTCTCACCGCGGGTGACCTATTTACCGCCGGAGTGGCTCCTGCTACCCGAAGAGCTTACGCCAATGGAGAGCGAAGCTTCGAGCAGTTTTGCAGATTAACGAAGAGAAAGCCATGGCCCGCCACTCGGGAGACTGTGGAAGATTATGTAGCGCACCTGTTCAACCGGAAGTCCTCATCCTCGACCATCAATGTTTTTTCATCCGCTGTAGCCCGGCACCACTTGTCGCAAAACATGCCGGACCCGACAGCCAATCCCAGACTGAAGCAGATTGTAGAAGGCGCCTGCCGGATGACCGTAACACAACCAGACCAGCGCCTACCGGTGACTTCCGAACTGCTGGGACGCCTTCCAAGCAAACTGCACCTAACGTCCCTAATACAATACGACCAGCAAATGGTTTGGGCCGCCTTTACGATGGCTCATCGTTTCCTCTTCCGCGTTTCGGAACTGACTTCGCCATCCCCGACAGCTTTCAACCCGTCGGCTACCCTCCTGCTGCAAGACGTGTGTTGGAACGACACTGTGCTGCAGCTTTCGATTAAACAGTCGAAAACAGACCAGCACAGGAAAGAAACCACACTGTTCATGTCCGCTAGCGAAGCGCCGATCATCTACAATGCCTGTGTTACCTATGCACAACAACGTCAGCATCGACAGCCTCCCGACCTGCCATTCTTTATCAACAGCAGCGGCCGCTTTCTCACGCGCTTTGACCTTAAGCATGCACTGAAGATAACCCTTCCAGATGGGGAGGATCGCGCCCGCTACTCATCACATTCCTTTCGAATTGGCGGCGCCACTTCGGCCGCCGCTGATGGCCTGTCCACTGAAGTGATATGTGAACGGGAACGATGGAAGTCGTCCTCGTTCAAGCGCTACATTCGCCCGCAAAGTCTGCGCGTACCACATCTGTTTTGGGCACCTCCTCACTCGCGCTGCTCTCTCGCTATGGTACGCACAGAACCGCACCGGAAGGCAGCCGCAACATCCTGGCCACGTTACAGGATCCATCTCGCTCCCTGGCCACAAATCAGGGTATTACCTGGCCACGTATCAGGTGTCTTCGACCCCCTGGCCACGAATCAGGGGGTCACCTGGCCACGCACCAGGTGGCACTGCGCGCGATAACACGTATACGCTCCTTCCGGTGGCCGAGCATGTTCTGACGTTTTCCACGAAACTCCGCGGCCGAGACGAGGCTGGCCATATGCCCCAAAACCATGTCGGCGTTTCTCGAATACATCGTTAACACTGTATGATGATGCACGCTGAGAAAACGTGGAAGGACAATAAAATACAGTTTATCGGGAACACCAAAATCATATAAATTTACAATTTCGCAACAATGCGTAAAGTTTACACATTTATCAGCAAACGGTATTGCAGCGCTCGATCGATCGTACCAAAACTGTTGATTACAAACTGATAAACATACAATTCTCAGTTGAAGCTGTCATTAAGCCTTCACTTAAAAATGTTCGAGGAAAGGTGGTACTATGAGTTCCAATATCGCATCGCCAGTGCAGTCATCATTTACCTGCTATGGCTTATGAGCGCAAAGATTATGCACCGCAACATAACAGCGAATGGAGAGAAAACCAAAATTTTCCTCGCTTCCGGTCTCTCAATAAATTACAGGTTACACCGCATTATCGATTTACACGCTACTATCGTTTAGCAAAACACAGTATAATGAAATGCAGTTATTGGTGTACTGTACGCAAGAGTTAACGTTTCACCAATTGGTGTAACCGCTTGACTAGTCACTAATGGCTTACTTGTTAGAATCTATTCACTCTAAAAGGCTTACATTGACAGAAATCACACCCACACCTTATTTCCTGTCATTATTTCAGGAAACCGTATGCACAAGTGTTTGCAGGATGCAATGTAGAGCACTGTCATCCTCTCTGACTCCAGGACTGTAAAATTATCAAGATTCAATTAATTGCAGCCTGCTATGACAAGTTTCCGTAAATGTGTAATTTCCAAACACTACTTACTGGTAGTGTAACGCTTGCGTAAACATGGGCGCAGAGAAAAATAAAAGCGCTTTCATGGGTATTTGCCTGGCTGTAGCCAAAGTTTAATTTTAATACATCTGTCGATGACACTGTTTGGTACGGCGGCAAAGAGTTGCAATCGGAACAGTCTTTTATGTTTTACGTTGTTTCTTACGTGCTTCTTTTGTTCCTATGTACGGTAGGAAATGTGCTGAATTTGATAATTTTTGTTGGAGGGAAGAAGAAGTCTTCCGCGACCTTTTACATGTCAGCGACGGCTGTTGCCGATCTCGGAGTGCTGTAAGGCATACTGCTTAAGTTACCAGTAGCCTGACCTTTCATCAGATTAATCGTAAACTGCAGACTGATGTTTCAGGTGGTCTCAGCTACCGCTGTTTATTTGGGAAATCAGCCACGCTTTTGGATTCCCGTATGCAACACTGTACAACTACGGCATAACCACGGCCATTACCGGTCCAGTGACGTGGATTCAGGAAACCTGTGCTAATCTATCTGACTGGTAACTTTGGCGACACATCAAATATCAGGGACTATGTTTTACAGAATGTTCGTCTGCAAATGCGTGCTTCTTGGGTTGTTAATACTGATCTTACTTATCCAGGATTCTGGTCGTTTTCTCCTTGGAACGATTACTGGTTCTAGCACGACCTTTCGTGTTCCGTCGAATCCAGTCGCAAACGGTGGCACGCGGTGTTGTTGGTGTTCTGGCTATTTTATCTGCGGCATTTGCCATGCATTTTTTCGTGGCGAATGTTACGTGCTGGAAGTATGACCTTTGGGAGCATCCTCGCCGTACTCCCCGGTGGCTGATTCGATGGAAGACGGTGCAGGAATTGGCACAGGTACACATAAAAGCGTTTATTAAGGCAGTTTCTGTAACGCTCGAAAACTTCTTCAGGGGATTGTGAGTATCCTGACCTTTGCCTTAGTATTAGTCCAGAATGCCGTTCTCATGGTTTTTCTTAAGCGACAAAGTACATCCGAAGTGACCAAAATGCGCCTATCCCGGCGCAGTAATACATCGGGATCGAGTGATCGTTATACCAATTTCCTCTTGCTCGACAGCGCACTACTCTTCTTATCTTCCAAGTTTCCCAGTATCGTCTACCGAACTTTGTTATGGGAGAGCTTCTTTGGCTATTACGACTTTGATGATTCCGCTCAGGATTTAGCTGGCAATATTGCGGATACTTTCTTTATCGCTTACTATTCGTTTAATTTTTTTGTTTATCTGATCACAAATCCAGCGCATCGTCGAGGTTTGTGGGCAGTTTTTGGTTGCGCTAAAAGTGGGTATCGTGTCAAAGAAAAGCGATAATCTTTAATCGTTTTGGGCCCGCATATAATTCAAAAGCACAGATTTATTTGCCATTTTAACGTAATACGGGATTTTATTTTGTAAAAAACTAAGAAAAATAAAACGGGTTACATTCGGTAAGGTATTCCAATAATGCCTAAATATGTCAAAAAATTTGAACATTTAGTGAAATTCGCCATTTAAAGCACCGCGGTACTTCACTTTAATTCAAAAAGACGTGATACAGACAAAATGAACCTTCTCATTCAAGGGATGAATTAGAATTTGTAATGATACGAAACGGCCCTTAAGCAGGTAAAGCATGAAGTCATTTTGGCCCATAAACGTTCACGTTGTATGCGCAAAATTCATCATATCCGCACTTGAATGTAATGAATATACTGTAAAAGCGCGTAATTATGAGGAAATTAAATTCTCAAAACGCCTTGAGGCAAGCGTGCGGTTTGCTAAACACATTGTTGTACTTGTGTGGCACAGTCACTCTTTTCCAGGATTGACAACCAACAAAGCGGAAATCTGCACTGCGTTTTCAGGGTATATTGATGCTGTTGGTTATTTATTTGTGAAATCAACCTTAGTTTGAATTAGCAATAAAAGCACATTTTTAGATAGAAAGAGAGATGCGACTGTATGTTAAATTTAAACAACGTTCTGTTAGGAGCTAAATCCCAGATAAACCTTTCCAACATTTACAAAAACCATGCTGCCTATAAAGAACGATACGGTTATCATAAATGTCTGCCAAGTGATGCCAAATCTGAATGATTCCCATTACTGGCGCGTCGCATCCGACACACAGAATGGCAGCACATACAATCAGGAGCAATTAAATCGGTCGTTTGCCTTTTACATTTTCTCTTATCTGGTGCTGCTCCTATTGTGCACCGTGGGAAATATATTTAATCTGATTATTTTTGTCCGGGACAAACGCAGATCATCAGCGAACTGCTACATGATCGCCACCGCCATCACTGACTTGGGAGTTTTGTAAGTTTCTAAATGAGACCGTTTTCCTATTTTTCCTTTCTTGTCGATCCGACTAATCGTAAGCATATACAACGCGGTTCTGTCGTCTTGTAGATGGCTGTGGTTTCCTTTGTTTTTCTGGGAAATGAGCAGCACACTAAATCTATCCTATGCAAGTATTGGAAATTATGCCATAACATCCGGTCTGACTGGTCCCGTTACCTGGGGTCAAGAGACGTGCGCAAACCTGGCGGATTGGTAAGCAACATCTCCATCCGGTAATTATCTCTGTATATTTATATACTTCGACGTTTTTTACATTCCCGACATTTTCCAAACATGCATATGGATTTACGTACCAGACACCAGAGACACGTTATTCTCTGCGCTGTTCCACATGACAACAACTTTTCAAAAAATGATTGCGTTACGATTAGTGTTGTTATACAAAATTGTACTCGAGATGAAAAAATATGATCAAATTCTCTAATATGGAACAACGCAGAGAATACCGTGACTTTGGTGTCCGGTACGTAAATCCGTATTGTGGAAGTGCCAAGAATACGAAAAAACGTCGAAGTACAGTATTGAGAAATTTGCTGCCCTACGGTTGATTAGTTGTACACATTTCCATAAAACATCTATCAGATGTCTACTTCTGGCTTTGATCGTATTCGTAAATCTATTTCAGGATTCTGGTGGTGTTCTCGTTAGAGCGCCTGTTAGTTCTAAACGCCCCTTTCACCTATAAGTGGCTTCAAAGACCGAACACCGCCAAGATCATCATCCTTGTGCTGGCAACATTCTCCGCAGCATTCGCGGTTCATTTCTTCGTGGCCAACACCATTTGTTTCAAACGTGACCTTTGGGCTAAACCAGAACAGATTCCTTTCTGGTTGATTCAATGGAAATCCGTACAGGAAGTGGCGCAAGTATGCCTAGCGCGGGTTCTTCAACGAATGCAGTAGTTAACCTTAGTATGTATTGTACTGCGTATCTAACGTGTGATCCTTTGGATTGTATCTTAGGGCGTGGTCAGTGCACTGGTGTTTCTTCTTGTTTTTGTCCAAAATCTTGCCCTTGTCGTGCTCTTGACGCGGAGGAACCAATCGGAAGTGGGAAAAATGCGAATGGCGCAGAGCGCTAACAGCACACACACGACAAGTGAACGATACAGTAATCTGCTGCTGCTCGGCAGCGCGTTTCTCTTCCTTGTATCGAGGTTCCCCAGCTTTGTTTATCGGACATTAGCCTGGGCCAGCCTTTTTCACTCCGTGGAATTCGATGAATCCTCACAAATAATGGCAGCCAACATTGCGGATATCATATTTTTCTCCTATTACTCTTTTAACTTTTTTATATATCTGGCTACCAATGAGCACCATCGTACTGGATTCATTGACATTTTTCGCTCGCTGAATAAGTGGGCCAGAAACAGCATATCATGAGTCATAACAGTGCCATATAGTAGTAACTGGATCCTACAACTACGACACATATACAGTACACATTATAAATTTATAACGCACAGATAAATAAATAATGGTTTCTCTTGAGCATCGATCTTAACTAACTGTTTTTAAATAGTGTTTTTAATTCTCATCTTTACAGTCATTTGTAACCTCCATTAAAATCTGAAGCAAAGCAAAATAAAATGTTCCATCTGTCAAGAACCTAGAAGAGCCACTTAATTTCAAACTTACTATGTAAAAAATGGCAAATTCTACTCAGAAAAAATGCGTACAACTGTTCGCTTTTTCTCTCGCAGAATTCAATGATTTCAAAAAGAGTACATACCACGAACAAGATCAGCGAGTTGAATCGCTGGGAACTAGCACTCTAAAATGTAATGTAATAAGATTATAAAGTGACAACTCCGCTCACAACGTTTTGCAACCTTTTACTGGATTCACAACCTTTCGCACTACCTTTCTTTTCGTGCACAACCTTTTTCGACATTGCCTTCAAATCCGTAAAATACATAAGGTGTTTACCGGCAACTGCGAAACGGATTTGTTTTTATTAAGTATTTAATTTCTGCCCCAACTGTTTGTTTTTAACTAAGCTATGTTATCCAAGTTCTATGTTATCCAGTCCAAGTGCTATTAGCTATGTTATCCAAGTTCTGTAAATACTTCTTAAATTAATGATGTGCCATTTCTGTTGCCTCCGCAATCAGTTCATGTATGTAAATTCCAGAAATTTAGGTTTACATAGTATATTATCATGTAATTTTTTAGAACTTTGCAAAATTATGGTTTTGGAAAAAAATCACAAAGTTTCTCTACGCCTCTGCTCATGCGAAACGGTGAAAAACGAAAACAAAAATCCAAAAAGGCGTAAACGGAGTGAATCGTATCACAGGATAGTGCGCGCAAAAGGCAGTGTTCTGAATGGTATTGCAGAAGGTCGTGAATCGAGTGACAGGTTGCGAACGGATTGGTCACCCAAATATAATGAAACCAGAAATGCAACATATTTTTAATTTCCAGGATTCTGTTGATTTTGCACACAATCCCGCATTACCATTAATGCGCGTTGTGTTATATAACACTACTTGAACAATGGATATCCCAACCTCCTGGCACTCTGACCAGTTTGTCCTTAGTATCATTAGAATCCTTAGAAATTCTAGAATTTTCCTTAAAAATCAAAGCGTTCTCAAGCAAGAAAGTGAAATCCAGAGATCTCACAGAAACCAACGCCAATATGATGGCTGACTTCGATAAACCGTCACCTTGCGCCGTACGCAGGTGTCCAAGTTTTGTAGTCTGCAGTTTTACAAATCAGATCCCAAAATGTGACTTCTTCCAAAAAGTTTTCATAATACATAAGTTGTTCATATAATTATGGCGTTCGGAGCACGAGTACTATTGACGTTAACAGCTTTACATCAAGTATTGATCTAATTATATTATTATACAATATCTGTACATATAAGTATGTACAGCATATCTCATAACTGACATTTACGCACGGACTACGTAAGTACAGACAATAAGCAGGTTGCGGTATCAACGAAGGGGTACGATTGACGACAGAATTAACGACGGCGTACAATTACCGAACGTTTAAACGGCAATACCCGTCGTTATTAACGAAACGAAGGGGGTATCGTTTCGTTAATAACGACGTTGAAATTCAGTAATGAACGACCGGGCCCATATACACCATTGAGCACGAAGACTGCGCAGGCGAGACAGTCTACCGAGTGAATTTCTGCCTGGGCATTCAATCCTGAGTTGTCCACTCGACTCGAATTTTCGAAAATCGTACCAGTTTCGACGTTTGCACTGCTGTCATTTATTTTTTTGCCAGTTACATTGAAAAGAAAATAATTTGCTTTTTCATAAATGTAAAAATTATTGCAAAAACTAATACTTTACTGTTGCAGCAACGTGCTATAGCAACTCTGTAGCCTGTGCTGTGCATATTCACCATCTTTCAAGTGCAACAGCGAGTCACGCATTCCAGAATGGAATGACAGCTCTGTATAACGTCTTCGCGAAAAACTCAAATCGCATTTCCTGTAAACGTGTTTGTAGTGACTTTGTACCACATAATAAATCTGGATTTTGTTATTTTTACAATGGTAAACGAAATGGTTTTGACATTGATACAAAATATTAAACGGAGACTGTCTGATACAATCATGGTTCCTCACGTTAATAGCAGGAGCAGTAAATTGCTTAGTTTATAACGCAACCTCTTATTCCAATCAACGGCACGTTAAATTAACAACGTTAAAATCGTCGATAATTTTGCCGTTAATCGCATGGCCGTGCAAAACGCAACCTACTTAATGAGTGTACTATACTACTGTCTGATTAAAATGGCCCAGAGCCGTAATTAATTTGGAATGTGCTCTTACCGCACAGTACACGGCAACCTGCAGCGCTTTACCGGCACAATTCAACCCGATAGTAAAATAAAATTAGAAAGTTTCGTATTTTGTGCATAACAGACTTACATGTATTAAGAATGATTATGTAAATTGTATGTGCATAATTGTATCACGCTTAATTAGGTAAATTCCGGGTGACTGTGCAAGACTGCAAGTTGTGTAATTGGACAATAATCCAATTTACGATCATGTACATTGTGCCAGCTCCAAGCTTATGCTAAATTGGTATGCAAAAGATGGAAATAACGTTATGCTGCTTAAAGGTCGCAGCTGCTTATAAATTTTATATGGTTCGTTGTTTTCACGGCTGTTCAATATTGAACTCGTACTTGATTGTAGGGGGAGAAATTTTCCATTGACCAATTACAAAAAAAGGAGCTTATCTAGATAACTGCGATGCCATTATACTACGAGTACCATAGCCTATAAAGTTGTTCTTACCGCTGCTGTTCAAAATTACATATTCTCAGTAAGCCGGTGAAAATTTCCGTCCGGTGAAATCAAGCAGTGGATTAGTTGAGTTTTTCATTTATTCGCTTGAATGTAGCAGTAGCAGTGCACCTTTTCCGGGTAATTTTATCAGCAGGATACTTAACAGTTCATTTTGACCTTTTAACCTTTTTTTGTTCATTTTAGTAGTAATATACTCGTCTCGACCGGCTTTTAGATGTGGGACGCTGATAAGACTTTTTACACATAATTTAATGCAAAAAACTTTTTACACATAATTTAATGCAAAAAACTTTGTACACATAATTTAATGCAAAAAACTTTTTACGCTTATTTTAATGCGAAAAACTTTTTCCGCCCTATTTACACCGAAAAACTTTTTACACATAATTTAATGCAAAAAAACTTTTTACGCTTATTTTAATGCGAAAAACTTTTTCCGCCCTATTTTACACCGAAAAACTTTTTACACATAATTTAATGGAAAAAACTTTTTACACATAATTTAATGCAAAAAATTTTTTACGCTTATTTTAATGTGAAAAACTTTTTCCGCCCTATTTACACCGAAAAACTTTTTACACATAATTTAATGCAAAAAACTTTGTACACATAATTTAATGCAAAAAACTTTGTACACATAATTTAATGCAAAAAACTTTTTACGCTTATTTTAATGCGAAAAGCTTTTTCCGCCCTATTTTACACCGAAAAACTATTTACACGTAATTTAATGCAAAAAACTTTGTACACATAATTTAATGCAAAAAACTTTTTACGCTTCTTTTAATGCGATTAACTTTTTCCGCCCTATTTTACACCGAAAAACTTTTTCACCTAATTTTAAGTTTAAAAACGTTGAACACTTAATTTATTGCGAAAAACCTTTCACGCTCATTTTAATGCGAAAAGCTTTTGAGCCTTATATTGAAACGAGAAACTTTTCGATCTAACTGTAAGCCCAAAAATGTTTGTATTCGTATTTAGTGTGAATCTTATTAGCGTTATTTGTACCCGAAAACATTTTCTGCCTTATTTTAATGCGAAAAATTTTTCGCCTTATTTTAAAACAAAAACTTTTCAATCATATTTTAAGCCAAAATTTTTGTATTCTTATATTCGTGGAAAAAAATGTTTTAGCTTTATTTGTAACCTTTGGTCATAGACTTTGTCTTCAGTTAGCTTTTTTTCACGGGTTGTGGGCAGTCCTTGATAACGATTTGCTGTTAATAGTTAAGGCGTGTTGGAACTTGACCGATTTTAATAAGAATAACAAGTATATAAAGCCGTGAACGTCGTTCAGCAGGGTAATCATAATTCGAAGGAGTCTCTTGAGTTCATTAGCTGTGTACACATTACAAGTTGTGTTTATTGAGCGAAAAATGGATGAGCATTCTGACAACCACGAAGAAGAAGAAGATGGCTTAGGTAGCATCCCTAGCATTTCAGAAGATAATCTGCTACTTGAGCAGGTAGCAGATACTTATTCTCAGAAATGGAAGACTGCACTTGCGGTTTTTCAGTGCCGCATCGCGCCCGAGTTGTTTGATGTTCCGTTTTCACGCCTCTGTGGAGTAATAGAAAGCATTTTTGAAGAACTGCTTAACAGAATTTTGGTAGACAAAATTCAGCCTTGGTATATGGTACGCGTGCAATTATACAGCGATCATTTGCGAAAGAAGATTCCTATTTGGACACCGTTAATGCGGCGGGACGAACTAACTGTGGATCGTATCATGGCGCGCGTGGAACGGGTGATGCAAAGTTCAACAAGCTTTCGCTTGGATGAAAGCTTCAGGATTGAAGTCCAGTACACAGAAACGCCGGATGGTGGAGGTAATGACAATCTAGTGATTCCTGAAAGCGTTAAAAGGCTACTGAAAAACAAGATGTCTATCGTGCGCATAAAGAACGACGATAATTTATGTTTACCACGGTCCCTAGTAACGGCTAAAGCCTTAGCAGATGACGATCTGCAGCTGTATTCAACGCTACGTGACACCAGGGCACATAAGCACCCAGAAAAGCAGCATAAGGATCAGCAGACATTATTGGCGAAACAGCTGGTAATAGCTGCAGGCCTGACGGAGCGGCGCTACAGCCTGGACGACGTAGAGACTTTTCAAAAGTTACTAAGCGATTATCAAATCATAATTGTTGGACTGGAACAGCTTAACAGCATTATCTTTGCTGGCGAATTCAGGGAAAAACGCTTAATGCTATTGTATTATGCCAACCATTTTGACGTTTTAACATCTCTTCAAGGGTGGTACGAAAAAAGCAAATGGTGTTTTCATTGTAATCAGGGGTACTCTCACGAAGGTGATCATCGCTGTAAATATACCTGCAAGCTTTGCTTGCGCGAAAGGTGTGAGCTCGAAGCAAACTTTGCGCGATACTGTGCGGGATGCAATCGAACGGGCTTTAGAAACAACGAGTGTTTTAACCACCACCTTGCAAAGACAGCGAAAAGCACAAACCATAACAAAAAGAAAAGCATTTGCGAAAAATTCAAGGTCTGCATAGATTGCTCAGCATTCATAAAGACGAACGTGAAACGAGGATACGGGACAGACCATGTATGCGGCGAAATTTATTGTTCGGTTTGCCTGTGTTATGTATTACCGGAGCACCATGACTGCTATATTAAACCCGAGAAACTTGACGACAAAGTATTAGCCAAGCACAAATCTGCTAGTTTCATGTACTTTGATTTCGAGACGTACCCCGACGGTAGTGGAAAGCACATCCCAAATTTTTGTGTAATACAAGTGCAAGAAGATGGAAAGCCCATTGAAACCCGCCAATTTCCCGAGGACATCAGCAACATTGGCAAAGACATTGCAGGCGATGTCTGTGAATTTATTTTCCAAGAAAAGCATGCTGGATTCTTTTGTTTGGCACATAACTTTAGAGGGTAAGAAATTTTAGTTCTTCTTCTGTTTCACACAACATGAAATACGTTGAAAGTATACAGCTTACGGATAAAGTGGTGGGCTTTCTAGGTTCGATGGCTATTTTATTTTAAAATGGCTGCTTCAGAAAGGTCAAGCGCCTGACGTTATCATGAAAGGTTCCCAAATCACGCACCTGCGCGATCGGGAGTTTGGCATTAACTTTCGGGATACGCTCAATTATGTTCCTTTGTCATTGGACAACTGGGCGAAATCATTCGCCGTTGAGGAAACTAAAGGTAAATTTCCACATGTCCTGAACCGACCACAATTTTGGAACACAGTTATTGACTATCCGGACATTGAAAAGTTCAACTACCGATTTATGAGCGATAAAGAAAAACATGCATTTATGGAATTCTATAATGAAGACAAAGCTTTAAAAAGAGGATTGTATGACGTCAACAAGGAACTGGCTGCCTATTGCCACCAAGACGTGACCACGCTACGTTGTTGTGCAATGCAGCTGCGCGAACTTTTTCAAAATTACGGATGGACTATGTATTTTTCAATCCGGTTTAACCCTTCCAAGTGTTTGTCATTATTTTTGGAGGTCCAGGCTGCTAAAGCCTTTGGAAGTTGAGGTTATTCGTATGCCCAGCAACAGAATATCCTCCAATAAAGCCAATTCATGGTTACAGTGTATAAGTCAGAGCCAAGGTATTGAACTGGAGCGAGAATTCAAAATTGGTGCATTATTCATTGATGGGTACCATCTGGAAAGTCGAACTGCATATGAATTTTATGGGTGCGTGCACCATGGCCATCCAATATGCACGAATCCAAGTACACGCCACCCGCATCAGGACGCCACAATGGGTGAGTTGTACGAGCGAACCGTACGGCGCGAAGGAATGTTGAAAAAGCTTAAAATCAATATTGTGAGCGTTTGGGAATGTGAATATGACAGTCGCATTAAAAACGACGCTAATTTTGCTACTGCTATAAAGAACATACGGATTGTTGAACCGCTTGACCCGAGAAAAGCATTGTTCGGAGGACGAGTAAATGCCTTAGTGTTAGACTATAAGGTCAAGCCTGGAGAGAAGATAATGTACTTGGATGTTGTATCCGAATATCCATATGTCAATAAAAACAAGCGCTATCCGGTTGGCAAGCATAAAAGAATTACTAATAATTTTAAAACCTTGGATAACTATTTCGGAATTATGCATTGCAAAATATTACCGCCTCGCAACCTGATGATACCGATATTACCGGCGCATTTCGATAAACTGATTTTCACGTTATGCCGCACCTGCGCTGAAGAAAAGAATCAGCAAGTTTGCACGCACGAGGATCCGGAGCAAAGAGCTCTGACGGGGACTTGGTGCACACTAGAACTACAAGAAGCCGTGAAAAATGGTTATGAACTAATGGAAATTCACGAAGTATGGCACTATCCCGACAGCAGAGAGCGCTTTTTTGCTGATTATATTGATTTGTTCCTGGCGCTTAAAGTGCAAGCTTCTGGCTGGCCGGCTGATATTAAAACTCCAGAGCAGCAAGATGCGTTTCTGGACCACTTTTCCAAACGGAAGGCATCCGGTTGGACGGTTCCAAAATAAGCTGGAATCCGGGACTGCGGCAGCTCGCTAAGTTGTGCCTGAACAGGTTAGTGCTTGATTTTTTTGTTTGTTTGGTGTCGGTCATACACTAAGAGTAGTTGTAGTATTAGTAATTTATGCTATGGTGTTTACAGCTTTTGGGGCCGGCTGGGAATGAGAAATAACCTTCTCAGCACAGTTTTCGTGAACACTGTGAAGGATTTTCTGCACTATTTAACGTCTTCAGAATTCGAAATCCATGATTATGACGTATTTTCGGATGACGTTGTACAAATAATGTACACGAGGAAGGATGCTATGGTTCCGACTAACCCGAAAACGAACGTGGTTCTAGCAGCGTAAGTGATAATAGTTTCAGTTTTAGTGCTTCACTTAAATCAGGTAAATTAGACTTGTACTTATTTTTTGCTGTCAGGTTTACAACGGCACACGCAAGATTACATTTATTGAAATTCATGCAAAGAGCTGGCGAGCGATTACTATACTTTGATACGGTAAGAGCTAAAGCATTAGCGTAAAGCATATGAAACTAGAAGAAACGAGAAAAAACATAGTTTTTAAATTGTAGGACAGCATTATCTTTGTTCAGCGTCCAGGTGATGAGCCGTTTGAAACCGGGTCCACTCTGGGGATGTTAAGTAATGAGCTGGCCGAGGACGACTTCATTACGCGCTTCTGTAGTACTGGTCCAAAATCTTACAGCTACGTTACGGCATCTGGGCAGGAGGTCTGTAAAATCAAAGGATTTGAAATTAATAAACTTACAGGAACGGTGTTGAATTTTGATTCGATGTTGAAAATCGCAACCCAACCTCTCCAAGATGAGACCGCCTCCGATAGCGCTCATGGTAACGTTCAGCCCGAGTCCCTTTCCGTCACATATGGTAGTACTATTCGCCGGAAGAAACGGACATATGAAATCCAAGATGTGCCTATGACAAAGCGGTTCAAAAAGACGTACGACAAACGACGCATCTTAGATGACTTTACTACTGTGCCATACGGTTACGTACCATAGCCCTTTGATCATGAACTTGAATGTTGGCATTGTGTCGTTATTGAAAGTAAAGTCCAGGGTGGTGTTGGCTTCGTCGATACTGGCGGCGGCTGATGGCCGATAGGGTAGAAAAGTGGTGACGGTTCCAAAAGTAATGCCCGATAAAATCAGAACAAGTGCTAGCAGACTACCAAAAAAAGCAATCGTAATGACAACGCATATCGCTCGACGCCTTTCCTCAGCAGGGTCCATGGTAATGCAGGATATATAAACGGACGCAATTTAGACAGCTAAGAAACAGTTAGGGAAAACGAAACGTGCAACTGAAGTTTTGTCAGTTTTGCTGCAGTTTATATAGTAGTCGATAGAACATGTCTGGATGTGAACCCGAAAATGTTCGTTTATCATCAACATCGACATCGCCACCACCATCGCCCGGAACAATGGATGCCATTCAGCACATTATCTGGCAAGGTGACTGGCAAGGTGGATTGCACGATAGGTTAAAAGGTTGCCTCGTGGGGAGTGTTGTTGCCAGCAGCTTTGGTCGTCTGTTCAATACACCCTTCTACAGAAGCCATTTACCAACCTTGAGAGAAGTTCATGAGCGGTGTGCTGATGTGGCCAAGGATCCTTGTTATGTGCGTTGTGGGTTTAGTGGAACAGTTGCTCTGGTGGTTCTCGAAGTAACTGTAGGTTGCTATACAGTCGAGCGTGACTATATAGCCGATGGACTGGGTAAAGCGTTAGGATCATCCAACTACTTTGGGGGTAGTAAGCACATGGAGCGTTTATTGAAAGAGTTTCATCGGCGATGGAATGCTACAAGCAGCGAGAGCAACTTTGCTCTTCGACGAGATGACGAAGCTTACGTTTGTGGGCCTGCAAGAAGTGCGCACGGTGGGCAGGGCTCTCACGGGTATCACGGAGCAGTGATGGCTGCAGCGGTGGCTTTGTACTACTGCCGCGAACCTAGTTGCTTCCTCCGGAGAGAAGTCGAGAAGTGTGTAGCCATCACACATGCGCATCGTTTGGGGATTGATGGAGCTGTGCTGTTTGCCTTTGGTTTACAGGAAGCGTGTGATAGCGCCCGCACAGCTTCAGTGACGACCTTTTTGAAACGGCTAGAGGATTATGCTTCAACTCTCGAACCACCATTTGGAGAGAACATGATAGCTGCCAATGCGTTATACGTAAACCATAGCGTACTGCGTTCGCCGGCAGACATTATCCGACTGTATCCGAATGTTAACTCGCGCGCCGCACAGGACTTTGTTCCGCTGGCTATGGTCATGGCATTCGTGGGTGGAAACCTGCAGTGGTGGTCTGGATATAACATCATGTCACCTTGGAAGCGAATGGTCCAGAGCTGCATTGCCCTTGGAGGTGACACGGATGGTCGTACGTTCATGGCAGGCGCATTATATGGAGCTTTCTATGGACTTTCGTCTGACCAACGTGAGTTTGAGGCGATGCCCGAGATAACGGAAGCAAACAATGCTAGTACTTTAGCTGATGCATTGTATAAAGGGTGTCCACCCGATGACTAAAAACAAAAGCAAGAATAAACATGCTGCTGTTTTAACCTATTTAGTTGGCTATAAAATGAGTAGGTCGGCTCGTGTTTCTGATGTTAGTGCATAGAGTTTGCGTATTCCTGCCTCCACTTTGATTTAGTTGTCCATTATTCTGTTTGTCTGCTTTGAGTTTAAAGCGTTATCGTAGCGTGTTACCGTTATTTGTGAGTATTTTTAAATTTTCACCGCAATGGCTGCAATGCGAAGCGTAGATAGTGTATCAGGTGATAACAGTGACCTTTTGGCTGCCTTGTCGTCATCACCATCGTTGTCGACTATTCCGGCATCACTTCAGCCTGTTAGGGCATTAACTATTACTGGTACTAAGAAACGTAAGGTCACCGCGGACTCGTATAAGCCCAAAACCGATGCAGTTAGCTTAGCTCGGCGTGGGTTTACCCAGGGGCAGGTTGCATTTCAGTACGAAGGTGGGCCGGTAATTAAATTTGGAGGAGAAAAATTCATTGCAGTTTACTTGATGAACAACCGTTTGCGATACATTATTGGGGAGTTTGATAAAAATCAGGAGGGTCAGTGGGTTCCGAGTTTAGCGTCCAAGCATGTCGAGTTAGATGCGAAGCAGTTTGCCAAACTAATGGGTTTACAACTGTGTGGACAACTGGAAAGACTGATCAATTATGACGAAGGCTCTACACCCATTACGGCAATGCATGACCTGGGCGGAGGTTACTTCTTTAACTGGGGATGGTAAGAAAGTCATTCATATAACAACCTTGTGCTTTTGTTTCTATGGCACATTATTATATTTCTGCGGTTGCTTCTCCTCAGGCTTGACGAAGTACCCATTGCCAACATTCGGGTTTACCTTGAAGCAAACAGCCTGAAAGAACCGGGAACAAAGGTGGTCATCGGCTCACCCAGTGAGAAACGACTTGCGATGAAGTGAGTGTTGTGTTCTAGTGATAGCAGCATAATTAATACCCAAATTTACTTATTTTTTTGGTTATTTCATAACCGTTTAGCTTATTGATATTATTATTATGGTTGTTGTGGTTGTTGCAATTGTAGTGAAAAGAACTGGACGGCGTTCTGTGAACTTTTGGACAACGGAACCATCCTTAAGCATACGTATGAGGTGCTGAAGGGACGATCCGGGTACCCTACCATGCAAGTCTGCCAAGCCGACTACCAGGATATTTTGAGAAGCTACCGTGGCCTATGATGGAGCGCTTTTGCAAACGCCTGACGCAAGAATGCAAGCTTTGCCACCTTATGGAGGATACCTTTGCTGATCCGCTGCAACCTGGAGCTCATGATGGCCATACTGCATGCCGCTACTCGGATCGTATACAACTAACGGACCGTATGCGAAGCTATGTCTGTAAGGATGTGGAAAAGACTCTGCTGGGGCTGTTTCTCAAGCAACTGCCGTACCGCTATGCTGACGAAGCAGCGCACTCGCATCATAATGCGGAACGCAACTTGCTGGAGGCGTACCACTTCAAGCCGGACGAATTTCTGGTAATGCACGGAGATCGACTGTGTGCTGAAATGCTGCAGCGTTTCAAGGAGCAGTTCAAACTGAACTAGTATGAATGTTTCTGTGTATGTGTGTGGTGTGTGCCTGTTTGGTTTTTCAAGCAATCATCTTAGCTCGTTTAGGTAATTTTAATCGCTATATCATCAGTTTCAGTATATTCGTAATCATTTATTACTGATGTTATTTGTAAATATTTTTGATTCGCGTTGGCGGCCCCAAGTCGATTTGTCATTTTAATTGCCACGCGGGCCCTCTGCAAAACCAAAGGTGTGTGCGCGCAGCGCACCTCCCTTTGATTTTGCGAGGGCAATATTGCAATTTAATTGTTAGTAGAATGCTTCAAAATTATAAACACGTGTTTTTGCATTGAAAAAGTCATTAATAAAGTTACGAACCATCAAGTCGTTTTGAAATTGATTATCAATTCGATATAGGTTATGAATGATGTAGGAATAGGAAAAGCGACATACTGATCGCATTACTATAAAAAACATGCAGTGTTGAGCGCAGGTAGTGGACAATGGCTGTTGTAAAACAGCTCGCTGTTCGTATAGGGGCAACGGTGGTGATGACGCAGGCTGGCCGATGAGTTGCGTTTTCAGAAAATTTTCAAGTGACTGACTATAATAGGCCACGGGTTTGCCGTAGGAATCGAAAACTTCAATAAATGAGGGGCACTCAACGTAGACGGCAATCCAATGTGTTCCGGGTTCGCTGGCTGGATCAGTGTTTACAATAAACGCAGCAGGTAGGTCGACCTCTGTAAGATGCTGCTGCTGTAGCTCATCTAGGGCGTAAACGCCGCGAAACACCGATCTCAGCATGTGCGAAGCGGGGTTGTACTGTGACCACATGATATTCCGAATTTCCTGTTCGTTCATTGTGACGATTTGTTGTTTAATTACGATGCAAAGTCGCAAATAACCTGGCGTAAATTGGTGAATTCTATTAAATGGTCGCACGTTATCCAAGCCAGCATTTGATAGGCATTAGTTAGTGGTGTGTCAAAGTTACTTCCAGGCCCACTGTCCCTGATCGAATTAGCGTCATGGGCCCTAAGCCTGTAGCCGTTGGCGTCAGGTCAAAAGCGAACACTGTGTATCCTTTTGCGTATGTATGACGATCCAGAATATGGGCTCCAGCTGGATGGTTTTTTGATTCAAAACATCCAAGAAGCCGTCATAACACTTTAAATAGCGGTTGTTTGGAAAGTCACACATGTAGGGTATCGTTGGGTATTGCTTCCCATCCACATTAATACAGATTTGACGAACGCGACAATGATCAAATACAAACGGATTGAGGCTTGTTGTGCCATGGAAGCGGTCCGATTGCACAAAAGCAATAAATACCACCTTAGGTAGTTGGCCGTACTTGAGGTCAGAAAAGGCTATGGTTTGGGTGCCAGCAGGAATAGCACGCGCCTTTAATTCTGCGCGTTCAATGTGGTATTTGGCTGTTGTTGTTTGTAACTTTTGTGTAATAGCGTTCATGAAATCCGGTGATGGGATATAGCGTCGTACGGTTATGCGTGGATGTTTCATAAATGCCTTGTATTCTGTTGCAGCCGCCGCACCAGTATTCCATGATCGTAAATAAAATTCTGAATTGTTAAAGTATAGGCTAACGTGCACGGGCACGCCTGTGAGCAAAGGTTTTGATTGTACGCATAAGTCCGTGAAAATCTTTCCCGATAACTGAACGCTAGCACTTAAAGCAAATAGCTCCTTGCGCTTTGCTTCACCAGTGTTCTCTGTGGCATGTTCCATCTTGCCTGGTGTGTCGAAATAAAATCCGCCGCTCGTTAGCTGGCTTTTCATGGCATCTTCAGTATAACTTGTTAGAACCTCCATTATAGCGCGATAGGGATAATAAGGTGAACAGTCAGAGATCACCTTGTTCGCCACAGTAAAATGAATTTGTTTGAACAAACTATGCACAATATAATTAACAGGCGCTACGTTATCATTGTTCTCTAGGTTCACCCATGCATTTGTGGCGTTCTTTTTCTTTATACTTAATTCACACTCAAAACACGTATCCGTGAGCGAGAGCAGACCGTTGGATGACGGCGGGATAAAGAAAGACAGGTTACCGCTTAATGGTGAGTCTTCCGGAGGCGCCGACTCTGGTCCATACTCTTGTGTCTCATAGCTGAAACGTTCCGTTAACGATGCCGGTACGGAGAACAGGTTCATGTCACTAGACATGGCCGGCTCTGAGTGTGGTAGGAGATATTCAGGCATTTTTGTAGTTTTTTTCTAGAAAATATCGGGATACTTATCAAAAGAACCGTTACTAGTACGGTGCTTTCGTCGTTTCGTGTTTTTTCTCTTTTTTGAATGTTTAGTAGGGCGTTTGCGTTTACTTCCGCTACCAGTTTGCTGTTTAACAGTCACGAGTTGAGGGGCTTCAGTAGAGGTTACTGCTGCGTCTGAAGGCTGAGCTGGCTCCAATATTTTCCCTAGCTTTTCAGTCACCTTTTCCGCAGCACTGGTGGCTACACTTTGAGCGGCTTGCTTCAAGTGAGGTTTTGCTGACTCTAATGCTGCTCTAGCATGGGGTAGAGCGCTTCGAACGAGCGGTGCGGTGAATTTGGAGACGCGCGAAAACACTGTTCGGAAAAAGTCTGCTAAGCCTGAACCGCTTTGTAGACCTGAACTCCGATATCTGCCTAATGGACCATAACCAATCTGATTCTGTTCAAACAGCTCCTCAAATAGACTTGAATCAGGTTCAAAGAGCACAAGGTTATGGGGCGCAGCCATGATAACAGCTAGAGCTATAACGTTTCAACGAACAGGCCTAAAATGCAGTTTCACTAATGATTTTCCCGCCTGAAATTTAAAATCTTCGTCTTCGGAGCTCAAGTTGATTTCGATGGTTTCGATGAAATTACGTACTAGTGGTACATAATGTGGTTGGTCGAATCGTTCCGTTATGAGATCAAACGGTTCTCCTTTAATAGGCATAGAACGTAAAACTTGTGCGGTTTGATCGCCTAACGCTGAAAACTCCACAATGTCCGAATAAACATACATTGTTGTGTTGTTATGTTGCATGTTGGCAGATTTATTGGACGCTACCACCATTGGTACGTCCAACGTATCAGCATTCAGCGGTTGTTTTCTTTTAAGTAGGTACCATAGATAAGGTCGAGGAGTAATAAAAGTACTAGGAATTCTTCCGAACGGTTCAGCTGGCGTCCCATCTTCTTCTATCATTTCTTCAATATAGTAACGAAATTTTGAAGGAACACCGTCAAGATCTTTAAAGTCTAAAGGGTCTATATCGTGTTGAGTCTGCACAAAACCAAGTAACCCTTTCAATCGGTCATCGTTTTCGGAAAAACGCAGCTTGCCACGCAAGCTATTAAACGTTACTTCCGTCTTGAGCGTTACAGGATTATAACGTATATTGAACACCTTTGTGGTACTGTTATTTGTGCGAAGGCGTGAGGGAGTAACATTGCGACCTTTTAAGTCTACCGAGTTTGGCGACTGTCGCTCAATTACGTCAATTAGCGCCTTCAATGTATATAGACCCGGTGGAATGATGATCGTATTCTGAACCGATGACAAGGAAGTGTCACTGATGACATCGTACTCGTTAACAGTTAGTTCTTGCTCTTTTGGTATGTTGTAGATTGAGTTTGTATATTGCAATTCCACCAAACCCACTTCCCACCGGCCCGATAAGGAAATTGGAATTTTTAGTTTAGTCTTCCACATTTGCGCACTGTTCTTGGGATACATGTCCATTGACGCATCGCTTGGTAATGTTACGTAAAACGGTGTACTATTTCCAACAACACTAGCCATTTCCGTCAGCTACTTTTGATAGCTCTTGCTCATAAAACTTTCCAATTACACTGGGTCCACCGTCGGCAGGTTCCACTTCATACACAGGTACGCGATGCTTGATTACCTTATTCACTCGATATAGCTTTTTTGTGTACTTCACATCAGCGCCTTTCTTAAAAAGCTGCTTTTGCAAACGAAGACGCACTGTGTCTCCGTCCTTAAATAGCGGTACCTTAGCTTTGCTTTTGTTATTACTGTTGGACTGTAATCGCTGAAACACTAAAAGCGAATTTTCTCGATTGACGTCATTCGGCGCCAATCCATGCGCCGTGTGAGGTGTGCTGTTGTAGCTGTGAATAATGTCCTGTAACTTGTCATAATATTTTACACTCCCATCACGAGCGGTCATCAGTCGCATGAGACGCTCTCGTAACGTTCGGATGAATCGTTCTGCCATGTTAGCTTTAATTTCACAGTTCTCTTCAGAAAACATAACGACGCCGTTCTGTTTCATGTAGTCTTGAACTGGTTTGTTGTAAAATTCACGCCCTGTGAACGAATAATACAGTTAGTTTGCGACGCTTACGACGGTTCCATCCTATGTGTGTGTGTGTGTTTGTGTGTGTGTGTGTGTAGTACCTCTATCCACTTGTAAATACATAGGTGGTCCATACAAACGAGAAAAGGCTTTCTCCAGGGCAGGAAGAACGTATTCACTGCTTTTTTTTGTCAGCATTTCGCATGCTACTTTTTTGGAAAAACTGTCCACAACAACCAGCAGAAATTTTTTATGTTTATTCTGCTTTGCGTAACGGGACACATCCATCAGGTCAGCCATGTATTGTTCACCGAACTGTATTGAAACTACCGGATTTCTGC